GCCATCGCAGACCAGGGCGGGTATCTATACGAGGGCCTGCCCGACGACGCGCTGACGTTGTTCAGGCGTGCCGCAGCTGTTCCCTCTGCGGCGCTGCGCTGCTCAGTCTCGTATGTGCCGTCTTGCCTACGCCAGTGTTGTGTCGACACGGCGGCGACCCCACATAACATCCATTCGGATTGGATCGATCGATCCGACTCGACACATGTCACATAGTTCACTCAGCTTGAATCTCATTCGTTTTTGTTGTTTAGGCGATCCTGCGCGGCATGATCTCGCACGGCGCTGATGTGCACCCTGGAGCAGCCTACCCGATTCGATTTCGATTCCGTACCGATGCGCCTCAGGCCGACGCACATTCCGATTCGATCCGATGTCCCAAAGCAAGTTCGATTGATTCATTGGCTTACGCCGCACCGCCGACCTCTTGGGGCGGCAGCAAGAGTGAAAGACAGAATTCGCGGAACGCGCGCGATCGCATGGCAATTTTGTGGTTTCGGTTTGTCCTACGTAGCGTTTGGGATTCAGGGGGGGGCGTTGTAGGGGATTGTTTTGAAGTTTTTCGTTGTCTTATGTGAGTTTTTGGGGGCCTTCACGGGGCCTGTCCCAGGCTTCCTTTTCCACCTCCTGGATATGCTCGGGGATCGTTGAGCCCCAGCTGGGGTTGCGTCCGGCAAGCAGTTCGAGAGTGGACCCAGCTGTGTCGACGAGGGGTTGCCTGAAGGCCCAGAGGGGGCGGAGAGCGCCAAAGAACTAGGAGTTTCATGCCTCGAGCCTTGATCCACCACGTGTCCCTTCCTTTGCGAAGGTGTGGCACCGGCCAGGGAGGTCGATCCTCATCCCGGACTTTAGGCGGTGGTCCCCAGCACTGAAAACGGTTCTTGGAGGCTCAATTCGATGAGATGCTTCGGGTGGTCGAAAGATAACAAAAAATTGTGAGATATCGGCGGCGACGACGAAATCTTCTTCCTGTTGTTTCCTCCTCCTCCTACCCGGTCTTTTTTCTTTTCTTGTTTGATCGAGGTAGACGCCCGTGGCAGTTTATACATGTATTTATGTGTGTATGTCTGTATGTATGTAGGCATGCATGTATGTATGTGTTTGTATATATATATATATATATACACATTTATAAACACATAGTGGCCTTTGGCCCATCCCGCCACCGCGCCTTGGTTGTCGGCCTGCGATCCTTGGCGCCTGGGTTGCGGGTTAGACGTCACATGAGTCAAGTGGTACTTTGGATTTTTTTTGAGCGCTTCTTGGGGGCCTCTTGGGGAGGCCTCTTGGGGGCCTCTTGGGGGGCCTCTTTGGGGCTTCTTTGGGGCCTCATGGGCCCTGTTGGGCGCCTCTTGGGCACCCCTGGGGCCGTTTTGGGGCGGAAGGCTCGGATTGTTGGTTCAGGCTCCCCGTCTCGGGCCCTTCTTCGGGCCGTCTTGGGGCACTCGTGGGCCGTCTTGGGGGCCTTTTGGGCCGTCTTGGCGCCCTCTTGGGCGGTTTCGAGCGCCTCTTGGGAGCCTCTTGGGGCGTTTCGGGGCGGTTTGGGGGGACTCTGAGGCCGTCTTCGACGCCGTGAAGGCCGAAAGGTCGCGCATGATAAAGATATACGTTTCTCACAGGAATTCGACGATTTTGGCCTCCGGGGCCACTCTTGGGAATGCTCTTGGAGACTTCCTGGGCCGTCTGGGAGGCTTCTTGGGCCGTCGTGGGGCCATCCTGGGCGTCTTGGGCCGGCCTTTGGGCGTCTCAGGGGTCTCTTGGGCCGTCGTGGGGGCTGCTTGGAACTCTCTAGGCCTTCGTGGGGCCTGATGAGACCTTTGCCCCCCACCCACCCACCCCCCTCTAAACCGGCCGGACCGGGTTCCCGGGGGAGGGGTTTGGGGAGGGGGAAACATCTCACACGCCGTGACCCCAAGGGGTCGGCGGATTTTGCTTGGGCGTTGCCGCCGCCTGACGTCGATTGTACGTGTCTTTTCAGAGGCAGTGAGTCCATTATAGGTACGAGGATGCGGACGGGGAGGAGGAGGCGGAGGAGTGCAAACGAGGAAAGGGGGATGGTGGAGGAGGGGAAGGACGGAGGCGGAGGAGGAGGAGGATAAATATGAAACGTGAGAACTGATGAGGGAGAGGAATAGGGCGAGGAGACGGAGGGGGCAGGAATGGGGATGAGTAGCCGCGCGCGGGCGATAATAAAACATACCCCCCTTTTAACCCCCTCTATTTCCCAACCATCCTGTGGTGTTGGGTCCTCGTTTTGAAGAGACGGTGCCCCGCGTCTCCTTCTCCTCCCGCTGCCCCCTCCCTCTTCCCCTTCCATGCCATCAAGAAGGTCCCAGTGGCGCAGGTCGCATGCGTCCCCCCCCCAGCCAAAACAGTGCTTCGTGGCCCCACAGGGAGCTCCACCGAAGGCCCCATTGGCGCAGGTTGCATGCGTCCCCCCACCCAGGACAGCGTTTCGTGGCCCCACAGGGAGCTCCACCGAAGGTCCCAGTGGCGCAGGTTGCGTGCGTCACCCCATATCCAGGACAGCGTTTCGTGGCCCCATAGGGAGCTCCACCGAAGGTCCCAGTGGCGCAGGTTGCATGCGTCCCCCCCATCCAGGACAGCGTTTCGTGGCCCCACAGGGAGCTCCACCGAAGGTCCCAGTGGCGCAGGTTGCATGCGTCCCTCCCACCCAGGACAGCGCTTCGTGGCCCCGTAAGGAGCTCCACCGAAGGTCTCAGTGGCGCAGGTTGCATGCGTCCCCCCCATCCAGGACAGCGCTTCGTGGCCCCACAGGGAGCTCCACCGAAGGTCCCAGTGGCGCAGGTTGCATGCGTCCCCCCCATCCAGGACAGCGTTTCGTGGCCCCATAGGGAGCTCCACCGAAGGTCTCAGTGGCGCAGGCTGCATGCGTCCACCCCCACCCAGGACAGCGTTTCGTGGCCCCACAGGGAGCTCCACCGAAGGTCCCAGTGGCGCAGGTTGCTTGCGTCCCCCCCACCCAGGACACCGTTTCGTGGCCCCATAGGGAGCTCCACCGAAGGTCCCAGTGGCGCATGCTGCATGCGTCCCCCCTGTGGCGCAGGTTGCAAGCGCCCCCCCCCACCAGGAGAATGCAGACAGCGAGGGTCAGTTCCGTGGCCCCATAGGGAGCTCCACCGAAGCTCTCAGTGGCTGCGCCCGCATGCCGCCTCCACGCCCATTTCGGCACACCCCTCACACGCTTCGTGGTCCCATAGGGAGCTCCACCGAAGGCCCCAGTGGCTGCGCCCGCAGGCTGCCCCCCCACACACACATTTCGGCACACCCCTCACACGTTTTCGCGGCCCCAGAGGAGGAGGAGGAAGAGGAGGAGGAGGAGGAAAAGGAAAAGGAAAAGGAAAAGGAAAAGGAAGAGTAACAGAATGAGGACCAGGAGCAGGAACACGACTCGCACGAGCTCCGTACCCCAGGGTGGGGGGGGGGCACGCACGAGTTGTCCAAACTGTGGCCTCCTGCCGCGATGAAGAAAGCTCCGGAGCCTGTTGTGCGTACTCGTCCCGCCGAATTTTGGATCCTCCTTCTCTCCTCCTCCTCCGTCTCTTTCTCCGTCCTCCCTCCGTCACAACTCGTAGTAAGTGTTCTCTCCGTTCTGGCACACCGACAGCTCCAGTGGCCCAGAGTTCCTTCCGTCTGCGCGCTTGACTTCGCCCACGACCCAGAAATATGGAGTTTCGTCGTGGTGGGAGCCTCGTCTTGACTGAGGCGGGACGCCTGTGGGGCCCGCAGCTTCATGTTCGAATCCGAACGAGTCTTCGTCTTCCCCTTGTCGGGGGGGGCCTCGGTCTCTGCGGGGCTGCTCGTCCCCCAGCGGGACTGCTCCTTATATTCCCCTTCCATGTAGAAAATGCAAGTGGCTCGATGATGACGTGGCAACGCCTTCACTGCCCCCCCCCCTGCAGCTGAAACCGCTGACCCCGAGGCGGCTCACGACGACGCAGGCGTGGACGGTGTCCTGCACGGAGGCGCAGGCGGAGTTTGCGCCCGGCCCCCGGCCCCGGAGCACCTGTACGATTACAAGTGGTGCGGGAGAGACGGGGACGAATGCCAACAGTTGCGGCTTTCCAATCTGTGCAGGGGTCGCTGTCGGTGTCGCCGCGGGCGGTGCCCAGATGGGACAGGCTTCGCCTGCGGAGTGTCGGTTTGGAGTAGCATTTGTTGTCGTGCAGTGTGCCATTTTTTCCGTGCTCATATCGGGCGTGCCAGCGGGCCGTTGGGCGGAAGGGACCTCTTCAACCCTGAATTCCCAGGAGAGCTACCAAGAACAGCAGTAGGATCTTCGATTATAAATTCCAATCAAGGTTGTAAGCAGTCTCGATACGTCTGTAGGTATGGAGGGTTGTTCTCGAGCACCCTTCAAGATCAGGATCATAACAACAACAAACACGAAACAGCACGGAGGTGGCCTTTCGGGGCCCTCGCTGGGCTGCGGGACAGGCAAGAAGCTCAGGATGGAAGGCAGGTCCTTTGAAAAGGGCAGGCCGCATTGGTAAAAGTTTGATATCAGATGGATGACTTCTCGTCGCAGCACGAAGAAAAGGGTTCTTGGAGGAAATTGGCCCTGGAGGTTTCATTCCTCGCATTCGGACTTTCAGGGCTCTTCCGGTGCCCTTGGGACTGTTATGAAGTGGCTCGGATTGAGACGCTGACTCAGGGGCAAGAATCCCCAGGTGCCCGTCTCCACAAGGACCCATTTCCTTCATGCCGCATCCCCAGACATTCCTCGCACTGATTTTTTGATACGTGAGCCCCTGAACCTCTCGACATCTTATCACAGGGAAAATGTGTCATCCCAAGCAGTTGATGGACTGCCTCGAGGCCTGAAGCAGATTCTGTGATGTCGCAACTGGTCTCTCGGTCTCATTGCCGCGCCTGCCGCCGGCTACCGCCCCTGTTGGGGGGGAACAGTGAGATACCGGTATCGCTACTCCCCACAACCTCTCCCCAGTGTGTCCCCCTGCTTCCTGGCCAGGATTCCGAGGCAAGTCAGCCTAGGAGAAAGGTAAATCGCTCCAGAGAGTTCTTCATCGCTCTCAGACTCTCAGACTGTCAGAGCGCTCCAGAACGCCCTGAAACGGCACCGATGCACGATACACCCTCCAGATCCTCCAGGTCGCAGAGATCCAAGTTTTGTCTTGATCCAAACTTGTTTTCAAACTGTTATCGTCCCAGTCTTAGGCTGTCTTCATCGATCCGATTCGAGATCGAGTCTGGCCTCCTCGATCCAAGTCAATTTCGATATCCCAAAGATCAAATGTTATGTGCATCCTGGCTCTGCCGATCCTGTTTGATTCAAACCCTGTGTCGATTCTGACAAATTCCGATTCGATCCGATGTTTTGGTTGGCTGTTAGTTGATCCTGATTTGTTCGGGTTTGAGCTGGAAGGTGCGCGCACGGTCTTCGGAAGCTTCCCCCTTCGGTAGCATCTTCTTGCAGCAGCGGGGCGCTACAGATCTCGTAGGCCTGCCTCAGCTTGGTCGGTCGCCCGTTGTCTGTGGCAGTGGTCATCGCCGTCATCGCCGAGTCATCGCAGCCAAGAGCGCACCAGACTGCACGTTCTTTTGATGCTACTGCGTAAGCAGAGCATGCTTGGTGCTCGAAAAAGAGAAGGCGCCATCAACATAAACTTTCGGAGGTCCTGCAAGAAGAACGTCCTGGATGTTGGTCCGATCGTTTCTCCTCGCCGCGCAGGTGGCGGAGGCCAAGGCGCAGCTCAGGCAGGCCTGGAGCACCGTCGGCCTGCGGCAGGAGCCCCACGCGGCCCCAGAGGCCAGCGGGGCCGCCGGCCCGCGCGGCCGCACTCCCGCCGGGTCAGCGGCGCTGTCGTCCCCCAGTCAGGGGAAATGACAGGGGAGGGGGGGACAGGCACATGGGGGGGGATGCATCGACCCCCAAGCGCCCCTTCACTGCCGACAGGGGTCTGATAGCCCACCCCGCCCATTGCCGTGTGTCGCGGGCCTCAAGCCAACCTATTGGCTATATATCGCCGATTCCAGCCTTTGGGGGCCCTCACCAGGCCCCAGACAACTGTCGGGGATGAGCCGGTCTCGGGGGAGAGGTCCAGGCGTCCGCGGGATCACATCTTCGGGGCTCGCGATGGCGGCCAGCAGGGGCTGCGCATGCGGGTTGGCCGACGGCACCGCTGTGGAGAGGCGCAGAAGTTCACGCCCCGCTCGGGAAGGGATCGGTCGGGGCTTCCAGGGCCGCCCACTGAAAAAGCATAGTCAGATGTCCAGGTGGGCGGCGGTGGCCGGCGCGCTGGTTGATGAGGCCCTCGGGCGCGTTGAAGGCATCCATTCGAGCCGTGAACCATGTTGATCAGAGCAATGATCCCATCATTTAGTCTGGGAGCCTGCGCGATAATCGAATTTCCAAAGCAATGTTTACGCGCATTCGGGGCTTCGTTCGTGCATTTCGCGAATGGATTAAGCTTGAATGTGCTAATGGTATGTAGAGTTTGTCGAGAACTGCTCTGGGAATTCAGTGAAGCAACGGTCTCTGATTGCCTGCTCGTCCATCTCGATTGCGCTTTCCATGCCGAGCTGGTGCTTGAGGGCCCTCGCCCGCGCGGTCGCGTATCCTCCTCACCCCCCTTTGCTCTCTTGTGGCCAGCCAGGCCATCACTGCGGGGCCAGTTGTTCTATCCGAAGTTCGGTTGGAGCCACAGGTCGTTTCGTTCCCTGTGGCTCCAAAGGGTTGACGAGTAGGATGCTATCCTTCGCCCCCGACCTCCCCTGCTTCCCGCGTGGCTCCTTCCCGTGGACATGATGGCTCTCAGGTTGATCGGATCGGTTCGTACGTGGATTATCTAGCAGCAGGCAAGGCTCAAACGAGCGATTCCATCTGAAATGGGGTCTGAACGCGTTGAAGATACATGTTTGCAGCGAGTGACCGGCAGGATGGAGGGGCGAGGTGGAGGAGCAGGCGGAACGCAGCGTAAACAGCCCGAGCAGGAGGAGTCAGAGGCATGAGATGCGATGTGTCCATGACGCGGCCCCAAACCCCATCCCCAGGGGTAGCATTTCGTCCCAGATCCATGTGAACATGCCACGGGGGCCGAAATGAAGGAAACATGCCCGGATTGAGAAATCGTATCGCTGGAGGTTTGGAGTGGGCGGGGGAGGAGGCTTGGGCGGAGCTGGGGGCGGAGCTGGCGGAGGAGGCGACAGGAGCTGGAGCAGGCTGGGGTTGGCGCGCCCCCGCGACAGCCGCTTACTCGCCGACGGCCCGCTCCCGGCCTCGCACCCTCCCCCGCTCGGGGCCCCGAGGTTGTCAGACCGCTCAAGAGCCGCATGGACGACATCGGCGGTGGCTTCGGTGCCGGCGGCATGGGCCTGGACGACGACAAGGACCCGGCATGGAGAAGAGGGGTCCTCGGGGGAAGGCGTCCTGGGGTCATCCGCCATGTTTCAGCGGAGGAGCAACAGAACATAACAAGTTTGTGTTCGGTCTCCCAGGGTCTTCCATGCGCCGAGGGGGCGTTCGGAAGCGGCCTGGGATGGAAAGCCGATCCTCCTAGGGAGAGCCCCAGGACCAATCGCCGAAGAAGAAACATGTAAGCAACGCATAAAAAGGTCGGCGCGGAATTCTTGGATCGGCACGTGACCCCCTGTTGGAGTCTCTGGCGCCGATCCAAGAAACCCTGTCGGACCTTCTCCGAGAATGCATGTTTATGCCGATGTGTTTGTTCTTACCCGGGAGAGCCCCACGGCAAGGTACACATTTTTTCATTGGGACCTTCTTGCGATTCCCCCCATGCCACGAGGACTGGAAGGACCTGTCCTCCGACTCGGAGGATTCTGAGGACGAGGACGGCGCGCGGGCATTGCAACGGGTATTCAGCAGAGGGGGGTGCCACGGGCAGACCCCATGACCGGAGATTGTCATTACCGGGGTGTCATTGGGGTCAGCTTTTGCTGGGCTGGCATTGGTGGTTAGGTATTGTTAGAGGGGTGGACCAGGCTTGTTTTCTTTTTACCCCACCTAGCTCGACGATGTCAAGTGTTGAATGCAATCGCAGGTTGCCACTTCATGCTTATCATCGAACGCTGCGCACTAAAACGATGAGATGCGTATGTGTGTTGCAATAAGTCTAGGAGTGCGTGCCGAACAAATACTAACATAGTTGAAGCACGCGTTATAGTTGAGGCACGCGTTTGCACGCGCACACAGTACATGCAGGCGTGATACATACAGGCATGCTCCTCGTGAGCACACAGGCGAAACATACAGATGCCCACGCACCAGCGTTGTTGGTGATTGCCACGCAACGTGCGCTCTCTTTGTTTGAGGGCACAGTGAATCGCGCCATGAGGAGTCGACCAAGAAGGACGCGGGAACCTGTACAGAGGAGGCGGGGGCAATTGCCTCTTGGCGTTGAGTTGCGAGTTCTGTCTCTTTGCGTCTGACTGCACCTTGCCGGTCCCCATCCAATGTCGGCTGCTCATCACTCCGTTCACCAATCTTGCCAGATTGCAAGGGTTTGGAGCCTTCAATTTCGACCGTGCAGTTTTCTGGTTGCCTCATGTGGAAGCAATGGCCGTGGTACAGAGGAGGAGGAGGAGGGAAGGAGAGAAACAAAAGGACGGTGCAAGATATGCATCGTCATTTGTCCTCGGTTTGGGCGCCGCGTGGTAGAGGTTGCTATTCGTTCGCAATGCCGTTCCTTTGAATATTCACGTGTTGCGGTATTCAAGCAGCGCCTTCCGCCAGACCAATTCAAGCTCGTACCCCCGACGCCGTGATTCTTGTCACGAGGCGGTCCGCGAAGCTGCCGACCCGATCCCGAGAGCCAGTCTGCCGCCGTTATCAGTGTTTGAGGGGTGTGCCACGGTGATGACTAAGCGCGCCTTCGCCGTAGCGCTCGCGGATGCCTGCGAGGAAGAGAGTTTCTTCCTCCCCGCCCCCCCCCCGTTCCCCCTTTTCAGTCTGCAGCTGTCTCCCTTTCACGGCCAGGGTTCGTTTGACTGCCATTGCGCGCCATGAAGGTTGCGACTCTCTAAGAAAAACATTGCCCAGGGGCCGAGGGAGATCCCTTGGAGGCTCGAGCCGGTATCAACAATCCGTCTCGCGCTCTTTCCGCAACAGCCCAGAGGTCTGGGGATCTTCGGCGCTCAAGGTAGCAGCTTAGTACGATTCGGCAGGGGCTCCCTAGAGAAATAATAATTCCAAGGGGCACGTGCGTGCCCAGGCTCATACGAAAGAGCCGCAGGATGTAAGCAAGAGTAGTGGTGAGATGGCCATTCCCATGGATGCCACAACTTGCGACGAGTTTGGCGCAGGCGGGTTTTCCAGACCTTGCGATGACATTTGAAAAGGAGCGGAGCATCACCGATGGAATTCGACGAAATGTTCTGAAACACCCCTCCGGGTCTCACGAACCTGAGTGTTTGTAAACTTCGGCGCGACATAGATGACGAATTGGGTTCGAAGTGCTTATGTAGATGGGTGACAATCATAAGTGCTTATGTAGTTGGGTGAATATTATATTGTATTTGGCCCGTGATGTTGCGTGCGTCCAGTGATCTCCCAAGAAGAACGACCAACAACGGCGACATCGATTTTTGTCCCACCAGCCCTCTGGGCGTCGGTGGTTTAGAGCGTTTCTATCCACACCCCTCTTTCTTCCCCTTCGGGGAGGGGTTTACCCCTCCCCGTACCCCCTCCCCTGGACCTGGAGGGGGGGTTCGCGAGGTGCCAGGGCGTCCAAAACGGCCTCGGCGAGGAAGCCAACATCATTGGTTTTACTATGATTTTGGCCCCATTTTGGCCTCTTGGGGGGGGCCTAATTTGTGACCCCCCGTCTTGTTTGATCGATCTCCTCAAAGATGGCCCCAAGAAGCGCCCAGGAGGCCCCGAGAGGTCCCAAGATAGCCCCGAGATGGCCCCAAGAGGCCCCCAAGACGCCCCCAGGAGGCCCCCAAAAGGATCCCAAGCGGCCCCAAGAGGCTCCCCCGAGGCACACAAGACCCCGAAGAGCCCGCCCAGGAGGCCCCAAGAGGTCCCAAGATGGCCCTCCGTAGCCATTTGGCTCAAGCTTTTTCGCCTCAACCACTCTGTGGCGCTCCAGTGATCGCGTCTCCCCGGCGCACGCCTGCTTGCTTCCGCTGCAGACCAGAGCTCACACCTCATCACCGTCTCGCCGGGATGGCGCCGCACCGCCGCAGCGAAGACATGGAGCTCAGCAGTGACAGCGACGCGGCCGCTCCGGCCGCTGGCTGGAGCACCGGCAGGGTCCTCGGCTGCGCGGCGCTGGCCTGTGCCGCCTGCGCCGCGGGCGGCTTCGCGGCAGGTGGCGGCGCCAGCTCGCCAGGGGGCGGCCTCGCGGCCAGGCGCGAGTTGCTGCAGGTGCTGGCAAAGCCGGCGCGGGAGAAGTGCAGCGACGTGTCCGGGGACTGCTTCGATACGGCGTGCTGCGACGTGGCTGGCTTCACCTGCTTCGTGACGACCACGCCTGGCTCGGCCCAGTGCATGAAGAACTGCACGCCCAGCGAGACGACGGCCTGCGCGGTGCCTGTGCCCAAGGTCGGCGAGCCGATGTACTTGGACAACGCCGTAGCACCTGGAACATCGATGTATTGCTTCTCCGTTTACATGGCAGACACTGGTAGCGACGGCAAAACCGAGCGCCCGGACGAGCTGAACTTGCTGAAGGCGGCGTACGACAGGAAGATAGGCATCTTCGCGTGCGAGCAGTGGGGCATTTTCAGCGACAAGCCAGGCGACCTGGCCCCTGGCGTGCCCTTCGTGGCGGTGGACGACGCCGATGATGACTTCCACATTCTCAAGCGCAAGGAGACCGGCACCTGGATTAACACAGGCTTGCACACACAGGTCTGGAAGGCGATCAGGGCGGCGGGAGACTACCAGCGCGCCAGCTGGGTGGTCAAGGTAGATTGCGATGCAGTGTTCTTACCGAGCCGCTTGAGGCCCTTCCTTGCCTCCCAGGGCGAGCCTGGGAGCGGTGTGCCCGGCATCTACCTCGAGAACTGCAAATATTGTAAGTGGGGTTGGTTCGGGAACTTGGAGATCATGTCGCTGACTGCCGCCCAGACGCTGTTCCCGAACATCGAATGGTGCAAGCAGGTCCTGGATTGGAAGACGGGAGTGGAGGGCGGCAAGTACGGGCCGATGGGGGAGGACCTTTTCGCTCAGAGCTGCTTGGACGCCATGGGTGTGCGCCGCGGCGGGGCGTTCGACACTACTCTGGACGCGGCCTGCGAGGCGGATCGCCCAGAGGACCAGAAGAAAAACAAGAAATGGAGGCCTGACTGCACGGAAAGGAAGACCGCAGCATATCATCCCATGATGAAGGTGGGTGATTACGTGAAGTGTTTCGAGAAGACGGTGGAGGCATTCGGGTACTGAGTTCTTGGGAGACGCGCTCTGCGAATTACTTCGAAGAAGAGGCAGTGCAAGAGCTGTTGCCCGATATTCGTGCACAGTTTTGCCATCAGCACTTTTTTAGCTGCCACGAGTCAACGTCCTCGTGGTTGAATGCTCGGTCGATGCGAGGCCCGTATCCTCCGAGGTGCGCTTGTGGTGGACCGGCGGCGCGCAATTAACATACGAATGATGACCTCTAGGATGTCGCCAGGGGGAGATGACTTCTCCTGCGGTGACCTATCGATGCCGCCTGCCAAGCTGGAGGCTCGGAACCCGGGAGTTTTCAGGCCGGTCCACGGAACAACAAAAAAAAAGATGTACCAAGATGGCCCCAAGAGGCGCCCAAGAGGCCCCCAGGAGGCCCCCAAGAAAACCCCAAGCGGCCCCAAGAGGCCCCTCTAAGGCACCCAAGACCACGAAGAGCCCCCCAGGATCGCGAAGAGACCCCCAAGACGTCCCAAGAGGCCACCAAGAGGCGCCCAAGAGATACCCCAAGGGGCTCCGAGAGGCATCCAAGAGACCTCTGGCCCTTGTGCTTGCCCTCCTCCTCCTCCTGTTCCTCCTTCCTCCTCCTACTCCTTCTCTTCCTCCTCCTCCTCCGCCTCCTCCTCATCATATTCATCCTCCTTCGTCCCACTCCCTCATCCATCGATCCATCCACCTCCTCCTCCTCACTCCTTTGCACGGTTCGGCCGTCCCCCTCTTTGCTGCCGCATTTCTTTGATCACCTCAACTCGCATGCACATCGTTTCTGGATGGGTTGGTGGGCCAGCCAATTCGTTGAAAACAAACATGATGTTGTAAAAAGTCAGTGCAGCATCACTGAAACGCATTGTGTTCTTGATACTTGTTTGTTCGAAATCTGACCATTGAAATATTGTATTCTTGACCTTGGTGTCGCGATCTGCGTGAGGGTCGTGTCCGATTGTCCTGACGTTGAGGATGCCCCAGGCGAAACGGACATTCAATTCCAACCCCGTCGCCGCCGATGACATCGTTTTTGAGCTCTACTCCCTCAGAGAGGTGCGCATGTCTGTTTGTGTATGTTTGTATATGTCGATTGTGTTACACACGCACTGTGTCAGCAACAAGTTCGCGCCCAAGGGCGAGGGCCTCCGGCGCCGACGGTACCTGCACACTCCTCTGCTGTCGCGCTGGCCCCCACCCCCCTGGTCGAGCAGGAGGGCATCCTTGAGTTTCCTGCATCAAGATATGAGCGCTCCATTGCGGCAATATCCGAACCCTGACGTCGCTGATCAACGATTCGGGCAGCTCGATAGGCGGCGGGGGCAGGGTTCGGAGTTCGTCGAGCACGTGGCGAAATCCGAACCCTCTCCCCGCCTCCCATTTGGTCAGAACAATCGATGGTTGGTGAAACTTTAATTCGAATGTCGCCTCCTATCTTTCAGCCTCGGGGTTCGACCGTTCGTACAGCTGCGCCTCGTCGAGAGCGTTCCAGGGGTGCTCGTCCCAAAACGGCCGCCAGAGCCAAGAGTTGTGCCCGAAGGAGAAACATTGACTGACAGCTGGATTGTCGGAGGTCCCTGCAGCGCCGACCAAAAAGTCCGCGCGGGCCCCCGAAAATCTATGTTCCGAAAATCTAACGTTATCTCGATCAGGAGGGGGACGAGACGGGGGACGAGACCGGCGACAGGGGACGTGTGACGGGGTAGGGGGGGCGGGGGAAGGTGGAAGAGGAGAGGAGAGGAGCGCATGAGGGGCCAGAAGAGAGGAGCCGGTGTGTCCACGGCTCTGTCGGTTCGGCTGCATGGGTGCACAGACATGCGATGTCTTGATTTGTCCAGTACGGGTCCCCCACAGTCCCGACTGGTTCATCCTGGGCTGTTTTTTGGACGGCCTGGGAGCCCAGAGACGGCCCCCGAAGGCAGAATTTGTTTGAATAAGGAAAATCCGGATTTTTGTCAAATTTGTGAGGTCTGGAAAGACATCGGTTTCGGGGAGCACGACAACGTGTCCCAGGAGACGGCTTTCAGGGACCGAAAACGTCCGAGGATACGTCGGGACCCAGCGTTCCCTCATGAACCCGTTCGGCGCCTGAGCCCGCTCGGCTGCCGAATGGGCAGCCGAAAGGGCTCAGCCCCCGACAGTGTCATAGGAATTAAGCTCGTTCGTCCGCCGAACAGTCTGGATCTTGAGTCCGGTCTGCGGCGGAGTGGGCTCAGACGCCGAAAGTGCTCAGAAGGAGAGCCTGCAGAACTATCGGGCCTGCGGGGTCCGGACATGACGGTCTGCTTTGCTTTAAAGCTGAGCCCCAGAGGTCCCGGCGCCTTCACTCCTGATGGCCCCAGGGCCCGATGCTGGGCCCAGGAGGCCGAAGCGACGGGAAAATCACGAGGACTGAGAAAAGCATCGTCGGAGATTTGGGTACCTCGGACTCCAGAGGTCTGGACCCCGAGGGCCGCCGGATGTTGCACCCCGAGTCGATTCCTGACTGTCCCGAGGCACGGTGGCACCCCTGAATGTTCAGAGTACCCCGACAGTAGAGCCCCGCATGAGAATTCTCCAAATTTGTCTGGAAGTAGTCTTCATCGTCTTCTTTGTGACTACGGAGGCTCTCCTCCTGTCTGGTGTATGCTGGTCCTGGCAGACGCTTACAAGCTTGATTTAAAATGGCCGCCTCGGATCACAAAGGAGCGAGGCTTCCGCTCGAGACTTTCTCGAGATTCAGACTCCCAGGTGTCACTACACCTGTGCACGCACAGGAAATCCCGATGGCCGCCTCGGATTAATAGCATGAGGCGGGGGGCCCACAGGGAGGGTCGCCCGCTCGAGACTTCATCGCGATTGACTTACTGGCGAGTGCCCGCGACATCCTTTCAACTTGCTCAGGAGCGAGGCTCCCGCTCGATGCCTCCCCGGGGTTCTGGCTCCAAGGATTCCGATGGCCGCCTCGGATTGACAGCATGAAGCGGGGACCCCAATAGGGAAGGGGGCTTCCGCTCGAGACTCTCTGGATTCGCTCACAGACGAGGCTCCCGCTCGAGACATCCTCTGCTCGAGACTTCCTCGGGATTCGGGCTCCCAGGTGTCACCAAACTTGCGTTTCCACCGTGTATTGCGATGGCCCTCCTCGGATTCGAACATGGAGGTGAGGGCCCTATACGGAGGGGGCTCCCGCTCAAGACTTCTAGACTCACTCACAGACGAGTGAGCTCCCGAGGCATCCTCTCAGTTTGCTCAGGATCGAGGCTCCCGCTCGAGACTTCCTCAGGAATCAGGCTCCAAGGTGTTCCCAAACCTGTGCCTTGACATCATATTCCGATGGCCGCCTCGGGTTCGAACATAGAGGTTGGGACTCCACAGTGAGGGGTTTCCTCTCAAGATTTCTCGCGATTCGCTCATAGACGAGTGAGCGCTTGAGACGCCCTCTCAGTTTGTTCAGGAATGAGGTTCCCGCTCGAGACTTCCGCGGGAGTCAGGCTCCCAGGTGTCACCAACCCCGTGTTTTTAAATGGTATTCAGACATGAGGTGGGGACCCCATAGAAATCGGGCTCCCGCTCAAGATTCGCTCGCGGTTCACTCATAGACGAGGTTCTCGCTCGAGACTTCCTCGGGAGTCAGGCTCCCAGCTGTCGCCAAACCTGTGTTTTAACATGGTACTCCGATGGCCGTCTCGGAGTCGAGCACGGAGGTGGGAACCCCATGGGGAGGGGGCTCCCATTCAAGACTTCCTCGGGATCCACTCACGGACGAGGCTCCCGCTCGAGACTCCTCGGGACTCAGGTTCTCAGATGCCCCCAAACTTGTGTTTTCACCTGGTTCTTCCGATGTTCGCCTCGGGGGCGCCCGCTCGTGACTTCCTCAAGACGAGATTGGTTGGTGTGCGTGTGGAATGACGATGGTGATGCTGATGATGATGTTGCTGCTGTTGCTGATGATGATAATGGATGATGGTGACGACGATGATGGTGATGGTGATGACGATGATGATGATGACGATGACGATGATGATGATGATGATCATGATGATGCTGATGATGATGATGATGATGATGATGATGGTGGGTGATGATGATGATGATGATGACGATGACGATGATGCTGATGATGGTGATGATGATGCTGATGCTGATGCTGATGCCGATGCTGATGCTGCTGCTGCTGATGCTGCTGCTGCTGATGATGATGATGATGATGCTGATGATGATGATGTGAGCGTGTTCGTGGTGCGACTGATGATTGGGATGGGGATGATGATATGACGATGCTGATGTGATGGCGGTTATGACCGTGACAGGGGATGACGATGATGAGAAGAGAAGGAGGTTAGGAGGTTTCTGCACGGGGCGTCCAGAGAGAACAATAACCCCACTTAGGATGTGTGGAAACAGCAAGCAACCGTCGGCTGTGCTTCTTGTCACGACGCGAGGGGGTCGGGGCATGAGGCCCTGCGGGCACTCAGACGGCGGCGGCCGACGCCCAGGCCGCCGCTGGCGAGCGGGCGGAGCAGGAGGCGACCGGCCGAGGCCGCGGGCTCCGCCAGCCGGCCCACGCCGTCGCCATCGCCGCCACCGCCACCAGGGGTCGGACGGGAGCGGGGCGGCGGGTGTCTGGGCCTCCCTATAGGGGGGGGGTCAGAGCAGATGGGGTCGGAGTACGACGTGGCATCGGACGCCTCTTCGCCTCCTCCCCCACCCCGCTTCTCCCCGCGCAGCCCTAATGGCACACCGTGCTTCCAGGTCTTCCGAATGGGGTCCGAATAGAGGTGGTCGGAGGATTGCGCCGCCCACACCGCCGATGCTTCGGCGATGCGGCTCGATGCGGAGCCTGATGATGATCCTCGTCCTTCGTCGATCCCTGATCCTCCCCCCCGCTTGTCCTCCTCCTCCTCCTCCGTCTCCTCGACTTCTATCGGGGATCGAGGAAAATGGATGACGAAGCAGAACCGGGGAGGTCGAGGAACCAGTTATCCAGATGTGTTTTCCCAGCCATCTTGTGATTGGTCTCTTTTTGAAGAGAGCGCCCCGTGTCTCACCTTCTCCGCAGCCCCATCACCCTCCTCTTATCCTTGCCTCTGCCCTCCTCCGCCTGTCCATTTCGGCACAGCTCTCACGCATTTCGTCGCCCCACAGGGGACGCCGCAGAAGGCCCAAGTTGCAGCGACGGAAGCGTCTCCAGGTTCATGTCGGCACACTCACACATTTCGTGGCCGCATGGGGAGCTGCACCGAAAGGCCCCAGCGGCAGGGCCGGCATGCGTTCCCAGGCTCATTTCGGAACACCCTTCACACCTTCGTGGCCCCGAAGACCCCAGCGGCGGGGCCCGCATGCATCCCCAGGACCAGTGTGGCACACCCCTCAAACGCTTCCTGGCCCCACAGGGAGTTCCACCGAAGGCCCTCATGGCAGGGCCCGCATGCGTCTCCAGGCCCATTCCGGCACACCTCTCACAAGTTCCGCGGCCCCATGGGGAGCTCCACCGACGGCCGCAGCGGCAGGGCCCACATGCGTCCCCAGGCCCATCCTTGAACGCCCCTCTCACGTTTCGTGACCTCACGGGGAACTTCACCGAAAGCCCCAGCGGCAGGGCCCACATGCGTCCCCAGGCCCAGTGCGGCTCACGCCCTCATTCGTTTCGTGGCACTGTGGAGAGATCTACCGAAGGCCCCGATAGCAGGGCCCGCATGCGTACCAAGACCCATTGCGGCACACCCCTCAATCGGTCTGTGGCCCCATCAGGAGCTCCACCGAAGGTCCCAGCGGCAAGGCCCGCATGCGCGCCTCACGGCGTAATTCGGTAATACACCCCTCACACGCTTTTTGGCCCCAAAGGAAGCCACACCGAAGCTCCTAGCGGCAGGGGCCGCATGCCTTCCCAGGCTCATGTCGGCACACCCCTCGCATATCTTCGTGGCTCCGAAAGTCCCAGCGGGAGGACCCGCATGCGTCCCCAGGCTCAGTTCGGCACACCCCTCACACGTTTCCTGGCCCCATGGGGAGATCCACCGAGGGCCCCAGCGGCAGGGCCCACATAAGTCCCCAGGCCCATTCTGGCACGCACCTCACGCATTTCAGGGACCGCATGCGTCCCCAGGCCCGTTCGGGCACACCTTTGACACGTCGTGGCCCCATATGGATGGACTTCCCCCTCCTTCGTCTTCCCTGGCTTGCGGTATTTCTTCCTGCACAAGATTGGGTCCTTCGTCGTGGCAATTTGTGAATGCGCGGTCCAAGACGACGTCCCGACCCCTTCCTCTCGGGGCTAGTCTTCCTCCCAGGATCATTTTCTGACATGGAAAACGAGGTCGTCGGAGATTCGGGATCAAGGATCGAGGAGCATCGAGGAATCGAGAATCGAGGAGTGTCGAGGAGAGTCGGAGATCGAGGAGATTCGGGGATCGAGGAGCGAGGAGGACTTTAGGGGGGCCGAGGGTCGACGAGACGCCAGCCTCGAGGATCAGCCTGCCCCTCCGGAGGCGCGGCGCCGCAGGGCAAGGCCGCCAGCGACTGAGCCCCCACGGCCCAGCGGGGGGCCCGCGGGACCCGGAGGGCGGAGGGCACCCTCGGCACGCCGACGCGGGCTGCTCGCCGAGCCGCGGGCACCTCTTCCCCAGGCAGCCGGCCGCTCGGGCCAGGGCCGCGCGCGTGGCGCCGGGGAGTGTTTGTAGTAGGAGGTTTTGCGCAGAGAGACCGCGGGCGGCCGCCACAGACGCGCACCCCCAGGAGGCAAAAGACCGCCACCCGTGGTCTTCGTCGTGTGGCCGCCTCGGCTCCATCGCATCGCGGTCACCCACCCTCTCTCCATGCTGGCATCGGGATCCCACGCGTATGTGCATCGCACAGTTCCGAAGCTGCCCTGTCCGCATTGCCCGCCTCCTCCATCCTCGTGATCCGCATCGTCCATCCTCGTCCCTCCGCCTTGCCCTTCCTTCCTACCTCCTCGTCGGCCTGGCCATCTCCCTCTCCGTCTTCCTCCGCCGCCCGCCTCTTCCCTCTGTCCTCCCCCTTCCCTTTTCGTCTCTTGGCCTATTGCTTCCGCGTTCTACCGCACCTTCGTGTCGCGACCCTCCTCTCCTCCACTACTGCCCTGCCTGATGTGCTCGGAAGGGAGGGTAGTTCGCAGTTGTTCTCAGTTCTCGATCATTTGTGCATCGCTTGGCTCTGTTCTTCGGCCGTCCTGGCTCAACTCGGGGAATGGTGTGATGCCGCAGAGCGCCCTGTCCTCCCCTCCCCCACAGCCCCCCTCCCTCAGCATCATCCCTTCCACCCATATTCCCTGCCCCGTCCCTTCTCACCACACCTCCCTCCTCATCCATTCTCTCTTCCTGTTTCCCCCTCTCCATGTTCCGCCTCAATGTCACACCTCCTGTGATCTCTCTCTCTCTCTCTGTTTCCGCTCTTCTTCCCCTCCTCCCTTGTCCTACAGCCGCTTCCTTGCGTCCGCTCCTCTTTTCCCCCCCGCCCGGCCCCACCCTCTTCCTCTTATGTACTCATGTCCCTCGTCTTCGTCGTCATCTTGCCCCCTCTCAGTGTTTGCCATCCTTTCGCCTCCTCCTCCTCCTCCTCTTTCTCCGTCCTTTGTTATTATCTCTCTCTCTCTCTCTTGTCTCTCTTTCTCTTTCTGTATTTTTGTGTTCCTCTCTCTCTCTCTCTGTCTTTCTCTCGTTCTGTCTCTCTCCTCCTCCCTCCCTCTCTGTCTCTATCTCTCTCTCTCTCTCTTTCTCTCCTTGTTTCTCTCTCTCTATATATATATATATTTATATAGCTTTCCATCCGTCTTTGAGTTGTTGTCTCTCCCTTTTCAGTTTCCTCGTCTCTTTCTTTGTTTAGTTTACCTCTCTCTTTCTCTCTCTCTCTCTCTCTCTCCCCCTGTCTCCCCCTCCCTTTCACTATCTCTCCATATTTCTCTATCTTTCTTGCCCCCCTCCGTCTCCATACAATAGATATACATACACACGCATGTGATTAACTAGCTCATTCCTTGACAGTGTGGAGTTACACGTATTTCTGTATGTTCACGCAACCATGTCATACAGATACGTCCCTCCCTCCCCCTCTCTCTCACACACCCTCTCCCTCTACTTGTACACATGCATAGATAAACACCAGTACTCGTCGGATACGACAACGGCGAACTACCGCCGCCCCCAGCCTTGCTGAAACCTCCTGCTGCTGAACAATGGGGCAGCGTCTTGCCAAAATTTTGAAGTATGTGTTCCCATAGCCGTTGTGCAGCCCCTTCGGGGCACACCTGGGAGAGGCAGAGACAACAGGATCAGAGGGAGGAGGATGGAAGCATTCCAGGGCGAGAAAGCCCAGAATAACAAACGCAAGCGTGTGAAAGCACTCCACCCCTTTTCCTTCCACTCGTACTTACTCCCCCTCGGGGATCGGCAAGCGAGGATCGACGTTTCTGTTGGTGCAGGAGGGAGGTGGGAGGAGGTGGGGAGGTTTCTGTTCGACCTTAGGGCACGCAGGCGATTTTGTCAGGGGAGCAGGTGAGGAGGAAGAACGAGGACGAGGTACAGGTATGTATGACGGTACGATTCTTTCCCATGCGCGGCCCGCGGGATCCCGACTGGCGGTTCCCAAGGGTTTTGCTTTCCTTGTTTTGGGTTGGTTTTTGGTGGCCACACTGCCAGATAGCCAGGCCCCAGCGGCCGAAATCAACGACGCGCGCCTGGATTGAAAAATACCATCGTCTGAAATCTGGGTTCCCTTCCTCCCCTCCTCCCCTCCCTCCCTTCCCCTCCTCTCCCCTTTCTCTGCTCCTTACCCCCCCTTCCCCTCCTCCACATCCCCAGGGGTCCCCCCTCCCTCTTCTGAGTTGGTCGGGGCGGACAGCTGTTATGCCTCAGCCCTTTTGCGGCCTTGAAGCCACAGCAGGAACAACCTTGCATGACGAAATCCAGAACAGGCCATTGTGCCAAACAGTTTTTGTTTGGCTAACACATGTCCTGGAGCAGACGTTAATCGTTTCGGAAGGACTTTGGGTACGCAAATCGATTATATTGGAGATCCCCTTTGGTGGCTCACTACAGTGCAGACGTCACAAAGCTTAGAAGCAACACGAGGAGGCATTTGCATATCTCTTTTGCGACGTACATGGGATCACTAGCCACAGCAGATGCGAACACGAAATCATATATGCACATGTATTGGATTTGACCCAGTGGAGTGTACAAGTACGCTGCAGTGGGATCCAGATGCGCTGGCACACGGAATTGTGGATGTTTGAATTGAGGACTGATCATGTTCTCATATACGTGGAAGACCACTGGAAACGCGCAACTTTGGGGTGCCACAGCTCTGAAAAGCTGGTTGCGCCTGATGAAGCGTGGCGCCAACGTCGTCGATATGTCCATGATTACATATGGCTGTTGCTAACGGTGCAACGAGGGATATCCTACATGTCGGGTGGCGAGAGATGAACAGCGAGAGCTCGTTAAGCCACGCGCGACTCTACGGAATTACGTTGCACGCTTGGAGGGGCATCGGCTGGAATATATGAGAACATCACAGCAGCGACTGCGGCGTCCAACCAGAAGCTTCAAAGAGGCAGCGGAAAGGTCGCTGGCATTTCGGATGGAATTCCATGGGGAAAAGATCACGCGAACAGCGTGAACACCAGCCGGTGCGCAGATGGCGAGAAGATTAACATCGACAGCAGTGGGCCCAGAGCATTAGCATCCGCGGCATCGGCATCGCACGGCGATCGTGCAATGCCTTTTTCGTTGGCGAAGCGGATTCTGAATATATGGATGCAGCATTTCTCGCAGCCAGGACATCCATGGGGGCGACAAGCATATGTTCATAGGCTGAAACCTACCAGCATATCTCTCATAAGAGGCACGACTTTCAACAACTATGGCGCCTAGAACTACCACGCGAAACGGGACAACATACTCGCGGTATTCGGTCCACCGCGACACGACTTGCGAATCGTAGCCGTTTCCATGTATGTTTGTGGGCATCAGTTTGTGTTCGTATGATTTGCATGTTTTGCGGGCGCCGCCCAACCCCGCCGCCCGAGAGCCGATGTGCAAGCTGGAGCACGCCGAGCTCGAGGCACGCATTCCTATGTTTACATGTTTTTCGCGTGGGCTGCGGGCCGCGGTGCGAAGCATTTGCGGCATGGGTAATGAGCAGCTGGGTTGGCGCAGATATCGGCGCGCCTGCGTGCCCAGCCATGCGCGCGAGCAGGGTTTACGGCAGTCAGATTTGCACGTGGGTTGCGCCCTTCCAGCACAGCAATGATGAGGCACGTAGATGATGGGGGAGCTACGTTTCCTGGACCAAAAAAGGTTTCTCAGTTGGGCGCGTGGTTGAATTGCTCAGTGGCGGCTGGTGGGGCGGCAATCAAATCTCAGGTGGCCGTCGGCTGGCGACTCGCGCAATCTTGAATATCACGTGCGACGGGTCGCTCTGGTCAAGCTCATGCTTTTGGAAGTCTTTCAACGCATTCGGCGTCAAATCCTAATCGACGCTGCACTGGCGCAGACGGCGCGCGCCCGGCAACGGGCATGACCCGCGCGAGTCGCGTCGCGATTGGCGCGGCAGACGGAGCCGGCACCTCCCATGCCGGGAAAGGAGCTTCGCAGGCGCATCAGAGTGCCCACGAATATATCATCAAGTTCGTCCAACGCTATGTTTTGGAAGCACGGTGGCAGGGCGACGGGCAGTGCTTGGCGGAGGAATTCCGATGCGCATGTATCTCGGCAGCGCGGAGCGCCCCGATCTCCGACCGCTGCGTTCATGGGCGGCGCGGCGCGCGAGGCGGCGGGGCTGGCGCGCGCAAGGCTGGCCAGGCGACTTGGCGCGTCGAGCGCGCAGCTCGGTCGGCTGCCGCGAACGGGCGGAGGCGCCCGCGCGCGCGGCGAGCAGCAGATTGCGCTGCGCGCGGCGGGGGCTGGAGCTATCGAGCGCGCCCAGGGACCTTTCTGAGCTCGCCCCAGCCCCCCGCGCCGCGGGGCCGCGGGCGCCCGGGCTTGGAGCGCAGTCTCCGCGCGCGGGACTGAACGCGCCAGCGATTTGCCTCGTCGACAACTACGCGGCGATTTTGGTGAAGCGCGGGATTAACTGCGCGTCTAGCGGCGTGCCCACGCGGGGCTCGGGCGGCCGCGCCGGCGGGCCCGGCGGGCCCGAAGCGTCCGCGGGCAAAGTGCGGCTACAAGCTACTGGGGCCTAATGTCTCGGGAAGGGTGAATATACTTCCCGGTGGCAGCGGCCCATTAGAGATGCCGCAGGCGATGGCGGCCACCGACGCAGAACTCATCCACCCAGTCGGCTATGTCGGCCCGTTGGTGCCCCCTCAGTCTCAGTCGAATTTGCGATTTGCATGCCGCGCCGACCGCGGTCTTTGGCGGCGCGCCGACAGCAGAATGCGGAACTCCTAGCAGCAACGTTTGGGCGACATCAGGGTCAAGCGCGTAGCGCGCTGCGCCGTCCAGGATTGATGCAAGCGCGGTATGAAAATGACTCGGGCTCTCCAGGCGCGGAGCGATCTGTCGGCCACGCCGCGTGCAGGGCGCGGGCCCGAGCTTCCACGCAGGCTAGCAGGCGCCCTCCTCAGAGCATGTGAAGACGAGTTCTGGGGCGGGGCCATCGAGTTCAACATTGGACTGCTTCGGGAGCGACGCTGGGGCCGGCGGCGCGGCGAAGCTCGCGGCGGCGCGGGGCGGGGCGGCGGCGGAATTTCAGGCGTTAGCGTTGGGGAGGGAGAAGGAGGAGGGCGAGGAGGAGAAGGCGCCGCGGGCCCCCCAGAGGCCCCGCCAGCGCCGACCCGGACTCTCGCTGAGCTCCATGACAATAGCGAACGGCGCGGTGCCCAGTTCCCGGATGCGCAGGCCCCGCGCGCGTGCGAGCTTCGCGAGAGAGGGCGCGGGCGCGCGGTCCATGGCGCAGTCGGCCCCGCGCTGGCGGCCCTAAGCCAGCGCGCGCGGCGCGCGCTAGGATTGTCTAATCGACCTATATTTCGAAATTATGTGGGGGGATTATTTTCAAATCGAGCATGTCGGGCAGATCGCGGGCACTGCGGATGCATTGCTGACCCGCCAGAGCCCCTGCGGCGCCCCGCATGCGGTTTAGTTTTGCAGTACTTGGAGGCTCACAGGTTCGCATCGGGAGCCGCGTTGCCATTGGCCCCCCCGCGCGCGCCGCCTTCGACGGCGCCGTCGACGACGGGGGCGACTGCCGGGGGGGTTCTCCAGAGCGCAGTTGACGGGCGCGAAGGAGAGGTCAGCGAGCTCTCCAGACGCCCCGTCGAGCGCTGGAGACTTCGGAAGAGAGCCGAGGACGCAGCCCTCGGGCGGCGGCGGCGAGAAGAGTCATCGGCACGGGCAGCAGAAGCTATGGCGGTGGAACATAGCGACTCCGAGGACGAGGCTGCGCGGGCGGCGGTCAAGGGCCAATGTGGCAAGCAGCAGAGGACTTGCGCTGCGGAAGGATGTCTGCCGAGCGCGCATTTGCCAGTACAAGAGTGCGCAGTCAAGTTTGCGGCGGCGTCATCAACGCAGTTCGGCGCGCAGAAGATCCCGGCAGCCCGTCGAGTGCGACGTGTCCCTGCGCCTCTCATGGCGGCAACGTTGGTGTTCGATGCTCTGTCGGCGATAGTTGACTTGAAAGATTGAGTCAATATTCGAGAGGACTTCCAGGGACTGGCGGCCCTGGCGCCGAGGGCGCAAGGAGTGGCGATGGGGGCGCCGGCGGAGTGCATCAAATATTTGAGAGCGAAAGCTACGGCCGTTCGGACGGGGGGAGGAGTCAGGCACGCCTAGTCCACCCGTGCAGTCGCATCGATGTGCCGGCCAACCTTGGCATGACTAAGTGCGCGATGCAGATCGGGCCCGATGTCGAGGCTGGGCCGCCCCGGAGGCCACGAATGAGAAGCGCCTTCGCGACCTTTGAGAAACAATGCTGGAAGGGCGCGGACGCGAGAGGTGCTGAGAGAGAGAGAGAGGGAGTGGGAATAGAGAGAGAGAGAGAAAAGATAGAGAGAGAGAGAGAAAGAACGAGAGACAAAAGGAGAGAGAGAGAGAGAGAGAGAGCGAGAGACACACAGATATTGTAGGAACCAGTGAGAACCTGAGCCACCAAGCGCAGCAGCATAGCAGCCAGCGCAGTCTTGCACGAGCTTCAGGGCCTAAGACATGTGTTTCGGAGCGGGGGATAGTTGACTCTTCTGGGTATTGCCCCCTCCTGCTTGCAGAACCCGTGATAAAGAAAACGCGTCGCAGGGCCAATTGTGAGGGTTCTGGCTAAGGTCAGATTGAGGCTGAGGCATTATTCGTATGCTGATGTTCCTGCTCATATACTGTTAGTGTTTCTCTCCTTCCTGCGCCTTTTCTGTTCTCCGTCTCCTCCGTATCGTCGTGCGTGTCTGTCTTAGAGTCTAATTCCTTCCCTGCTCCTCGCTCTTTTTCCGTGGGTGGGCGACCTGCGATGCCTGGTTTCCCACTCCTGGAGGCAAGCGCGACCGCGTCGTCAATTCGGGATGGTTTCGCTCGCTTTCTCGACCCAATCATTCGTTGTTCATGGTGTCTCCATATTGGAAAACAAATCATGGCCGGGGTGCCGATCTTCACATATGTGTGAGGTGTGTCACCGCCCTTCATTTCGCGCAGCGGTCCGCATGCAACAAATACGGTACGCATTCCATACCATGCGTTGAGTATCACCATCACAATGCATGCAGGAACCGCGTTCGCGCGCGAGTTTTCCTCGCAATGTATTCGGGCGCCGCGCCCTCGACATTACGAAATCACGCTCTCGTTGCGACCTTTCTCATGATTTATGTGGGATTCGTGTTCCTCGTCCTCTTCCCTCTTCTGTTCTTCCCCCACATATAACCTCATCATCCTCCCGCTGTTCCTCCTTCTCTTCTGCGGATCAGGAGACTGCCCGAGTGGGACGGCCGCAGCCATCTTCCAGACGCACTAACCGCTATCCAGCTTGATCCTCATCCTGCCTTCGTTTTATGCGCGCACAGTGCCCGAGCAGGGAACACAACGCGCCACCGCGCGAGAGCGTCGCAAGTGACCCCCTTATCCGCCCCGCCCCAGTTTTCAGTCTTCCCGTGCCTCGCAGCATGCGAAGAGAGGGCCACGCGTGCGCTACACGCCGCTGCCTAGAGATTTTGTCCATCGTCAGGCTAGTTCATCGTCAGCTTTTGAACACCGCATTTGTGTTCCGTTGCCTCTATTGAAGGGTGGAGGAGGACACGGGCCGTGCGCACACCCGCAGGCTGCATGTTCGATTTCAGCGAGGGACGCGGCAGTTACCGTCAACACGCAGCGGGCCCGCATGGGCGAGCACTTGAGAGGCTTTTCCCCCCCTGATCCCATTCACGGGGCGGTAGGGGGAGGAGGTGGGAGGGGAGCACGAGGGCGAGTACACCTTGAGGTCTGTCTGAAGTCTGTGGTTATGAATGGTCGTTAGACCGAAGAGAGGTGGGCAGCCCCTGAGTACCCACGTGTTGCGTAATTTGGGTCATTGTTGCGCTCCCCGGATTAAGCGGCGTACATTCTCACGAGTGGGGGACAGAAGTAGGAAGAGGAGATAGCATAAGTCTGCAGAAGTCTGGAGGATGAATTGCCCCATCCGCAGCGTAGGGACGGTAGGTTCATGTCGTTTAAGTTCGGTGATGACTTCACCACGGGCTTTCACAGCTGTACGCCGCCAGAGGCCCGAAAACGACTGATTTCGAACGATTTGCACTATCGAAGAGCCTCGATCCTTCAAGGTTCAATTGTCCACGCGGTGTCAGGAACCCACGCCAAAGTCGTCACGACACCAGCTTGCCGCACACTATCACCCGCATCGACCGTGTTTTAGCTTGTTTCTGGCGCAGGAAAATCGTAAAGGGCGAGAGGTCAGCACTCAGCTTTCAGCTCTCGGTGAAAGAACATCAGCCGTGCTCGCCGCCAGTATCGCGACGCCTCTCTCCTCCACTTTTTACTCAGATCCAGTCTTGGTCAGAGTCATTCACGCTCAGACTCACTCAGCCCAGACTTGTCACGCTCAGACACATTCGCACTCAGGCGCACTCGCGCTCATATTCAGGCCCCACTCAGGCACCCTACCAGAGTCAAAGACAGACGCGCTAGCGCTCGCTCGCACTCAGACACAATCGGACGCGCTCGCACGCACTCTGACACTCGCTTTCACATGCGCTGACAATCACGCTCAGACACACTCGCACTGGGGCGCACTTGTTCCATCTGCTTCCCTCACAACCTTTCTCAGCGCCTTTCTTTTTCGCCCCGCATGCCCCTTCCCGTTTTGTGTTGCGGTGCGAAAGTTATCGCCCTGCTAAACTGGGGCCCCGAGACTTTTTCTACGCGGCGTTAACGATAACCCCGCGGGGATTCTTTAACGACATATCCCCTTTAATGCGGGAGTTGGTGGCAGAGCGCTTCTCGCCCTCGCAGTTGCGGTGCGGGCGCCATGGCCAAAGAATTGACGAGCTGTCGGGCGGCTCGCTTCGAGACGTCACTAATGTTACCCAGCTCGCGGGAAGCATCCCTCGTTCGACGGCAGGCCCGCGGGAGCGGAAGGCTCATTCAGGCAATCGCCGCTTTTTGGGCCCGCAAGGTGGCGGCGCCGCACCCTTTGGACCCCAGCGCGGCGCATATCATGTTCACCTGGTGACGCAGGCACCAGTACAACGGGCGAATTGAGGGCAGAGCAGGACCGGCTGGTGACAGGCCTTGCGCGCGCGGCCAGCTTGCCCTGCGCGCGGCGGTGCGGGGAAACGCGGAGTAGGGAACGCGACGGTGGGAAACGAAAACAGGGAGGAAGAAGGCAAGAGAAGGGGCAGGGGGCAGGAGAAGGTGGGAACAGGATACGGAGAGGAGAGCAGGGAGACCAGGAGGATGACAAGGATGAGGATGGATAAAATTTTGGAGGGGCAGAGCGGGGGGGTAGCTCGAACGCGGCCCGCACTTCGCCGGGCTCCCGCAGGAAAGCTGGAGGGGATGATCGCGTCGAGATTCGAGAATTACCTGCGCATCATCCACACTCTGCAGAACGAAACTGGGACACCAGGGGGGGAGGTCACAGCTGCAGCCCCGGCGCCTCCATCTCGGGCTCGCAGTGTAGCGGCCAGGCGTTTCCTTCAGCGCGGGCGTGCCCAGTCGGCGGTTTCGTCTCCCCTTCAGCTGTGTTTTTTTCTCCTCCAGGTCGTCCAGTTCCCTTCTGCGCCCTCTTCCCGCCCCCGCACGCTCTTACTCAACAGGCTCATGCGTCCCTGCCGACCGCCAGAGGAAACAACAAATCCACGATTGATACTTTCCGGTGACCGTTTGAGGGCCTATTGTGGGCTTTTGGGAGGCGTGTCGGTGCGTCTGGGCACCCGCTGGCGCGGGCGTCCCACGCCATGTTGTGGAATTCGTGGGCTGTCTCCAGGCCTTCGCGCGCGTTTCTTCAACAGTTGTTCGGAGTGTTGGGGGGGGCTTCTTGGGGGTATTTGGGCGCCTCTTCGGGACCTTCCGTAGGCTCCATGGGACCTCTTGGGAGAGCCTCGGGGGTGTCTGGGGGTCTCCTGTGGCCATCTAGGAGGGAAAGGCTCGAAATGTAAGTTTGCATTTCTCCCGTTGGGCACCCGTTGGAGATTTCATGAATTCAGTTGGGGGCATCTTGGGTCATCTTGGAGCCGTCAATGGCCGTCTTGGAACCCTCTGGGTGGCGTTGTGGGCCGTATCCGGGCGATCCTTGGGGGCAGTTGGGCAGTCTGGGACGGTGTGAAGGCGACAGAAACGTGTGTATTGAAACATATAATTTGTTGAAAAGCGATTGGGACGATGTTTGCCGCTTGAGGCCTTCTCGGTGGTGATCCTCTGGGGGCACTCTTGGGCCGTCTTGGGGACCTCTCGGGCCGTCTAGAAGCCATGTTAGACCGACGTGGGGTTACCTTGGGCCGCCTTGGGCTCTGTCGGGGCCCTTTTGGGCCGTCGGGGCCGCCAGGAAAACTTGATACTCAGCCTCTCCGCGGGCCCCAGAGGTGTGTTGTCGAGCTGGTATCTTCCCTTTTGGGGGGGGGCCCAAACTTGATGATTGGCTCCTGGGGAAGGGGCATGGGGCCATTCAAATATGTCTAATGCGCTGTCATCCCCGCATAGCATAGGTCGGCGGATGACGGGAAGCGCCTTTTCGGAACGATAAGGTGATCGGAGTTCGTTAGAGGAAGCTGAATAAGGAATACATAAGTAACAAACTCGCGAGGATTAACTGGCTCCCAGCCGTAAATTGTTCATTGCTTGACGTGACCCGTCAAAATGGGCGTTTCGCTCGAGACATCCTCGAACAACTCAGATGTTGAAATCGTAGGTTTGAGACGCATTTCGTTAAACATGAGGGTCTCGCTGGAGACATCCTCGAACAATGAGGCACTGAGCTCCCTCGCGAAATCTAGCGAACATTTCGGCCATGCGAGTCAAAAGCTCGGCGGGTTAAAACGGCCATGCGGGTGAAAACGTCAAGCATGACAGGTGATCATCATCATCATCATCATCATCATCATCATCATCATCAACAACATCATTGCCATCATAATCACCACCATCATCACCATCATCACCATCATCATCAGCAGCAGCAGCATCATAATCAGCATCATCCTCATCCTCATCCTCATCCTCCCCATCATCATCCTCATCATCATCATCATCAGTATCATCATCATTAGCATCATTAGCATCATTAGCATCAGCATCAGCATTAGCATCATCATCATGGACATTATCAGCGTCATCGCCATCGTCATCATCATCGTCAGTGCCATTCCCATCGTTGACTGCCACACGACGCAATCCACGACGCATGCAACACACAGAACACATGACACACACACACACACCGTACGCAAATGGCCATATCGAGACGTACACCACGCACAGACTATACTCATGCCGTACATCCCCCCGCCCGCCCCCCCCAGAACACATCCCGCACGCCCACCGTACACCCCCTCGCCCGTGGCCCCCAGAACGCACCTCGCACGCCCACCGTACATCCCCCCGCCCGTCCACCCCAGAGCACACCCCGCACGCACGCCGTACACCACCCGTCCCGCCCGCCCAGTACACAACTTGCACGCACAGCCGCACAAACGCACACAGCCGCACACAGGCACACACACACACACAGTTTTTGTTGCCTCGGCGGCTGGCAAGGAGGGACTGCCCCGGCGATGTTGCGTTCATGGGTCACACAAAACGCAAATTAAACCGCAGGGCGCGCGGGAGGAGAGAGGAGGCCCGGCGCGGGCGGCAGGGAGAGGAAGTCGGGCCCGCTCAGAGCAGGGCCAGGCCGCGGCGGGACGGGCGCCGGGGTGGGGGGCCAGCGGCGGCGGCGCGGCGGCAGCTAGGGGACGGCAGCCGGCGGGCGGCCGGGCACAGCGAAGGGGGGGAGGTGGCAGGTCCAGCGCAAGCCGGAGGCGGGGCAGCGCAGCAAGGCGACCGAGGTGCCGAGATCCAGGTGACCCCCAGGCAACCGAGGGCGGCAGCCGGAGTGGACCACCTCAGGTGATGGGTTGGGGCACTGGGGGAGGAGGCCCATCAGGGCGGAGCGGGGGAGGCGAGGGCCGGCCAGGGTGCCCAGACCCGAGTGACTTGCGAGGCAACCCGAAGGGGAACGGCCCAGGACAACCCCAGGGCGAGGGGGCAGCCAAGGTGCGGAACCCGCTGGCCAGTAACGCTGATGGGGCAAGCGCGCCAGAGGGGCAGGCCTGAAAACCAGGTAAGGCCGGGCGGCGGGTGCCGTGGCCGTATAGGTGGCCAACAAGGCACCCCAGGGACCCCAGGCGAATGCCCGATAAGAGGACCAGGCGACCGGTGGTAGCAGAAGGAGCAACCACCCGGGGGCGCGGCAGGCGGGGGAGGAGGCAGCGGGCGAAAACCCGGGGCCAAAAACTGGCAGGAAGCTTGCGATCCAACCCGCGCAGGGCACGGGATAAAGCGGCGGGGGTAGGGCCTCTTCCGAGAGGGACGCGGGACAGGGCAGGGCCGGGGCAAAGGCGGGGGGGCGGCGCGAAGGGTGCCGGGGGCCAGCGGCAAAACTGGCTCACCAGGGGCTGGCGCCATGGCGACCCAAAGGAGGTGATCAGAGTTGGCTCACGGCATGCGGAGCAAAGGGGGCCTGCCCTCGAGGGGCAGGACGACGCACGCTGCTCCACCAGCGGGAGCAACCCGGACAATCGGCCGCGGGGCCCAGCACAGTGGCGGTGCGGCTTCAGGGCCAGCCAGCGAACCGCCAAGCCTGGTGTCGGCACAGGTGGGCGATGGGGGGTAGCACCGAACGGTGCGCTTGAGCGTGGCGGACAAGACGGATAGCCGCGGGGGAGGACGGAGAGGCACACAAAGACACACAGAGGTGCGCACACACACACACACGCACACACACACACACACACACACACACACACACGCACTCACGCATGCGCACACGCACACACACAGACACACACACACACACACACATACACATACACACACCCGCACGCACGCACGCGCGCGCGCACGCACACGCGTGCACATACCACGCGCAGCAACTGACCAAAGCAAGCGCAGGCAACCACTAAACACAAACTACTAACGGCAACCATCTGGGCACGCAGGGGATCCGAGCGACTGTACCCCATGCGCACACATGAGTTCCGGGTGCAACTCCATGCGCGCGTGTGCACGCAAGCTCAAACAAGCGGCGCTTCCCGTTCTTGTCCAGAAAGGTTTTTCTGCCTTCTCTTCCTCATCGGCATCATCCTGATAAATCATTGTCCCCCCTTGCTGTGTTCACAGTCCTTGTCCCATTTCCCGAGTCGTGTTGTCAAAGGTTGGTGTCAGCGCCTGGACGCGTAGACCCCTAGAGAATTGTTTCATCAGATGGGGCGACACCATGTGGTTTGGTCTTCGCGCGGTGCTGCTAATCCGTGTTTAGCGATTTTGTAGAATGCTGAATCGCCAGGTCCGTTCTTCGAGCAAAAATCCTACCCAGCCGTTCGCCCTCATCATGTCGATACATGACTCGCGTTTGCGAGCGACGTTGATGATGTGATCGCTAGTGCCGACGATGATGACGGTGTTCCTGTTGATGGATTTGTTGATGATGACGATGGTGATGGTGGTGATGCTGATCATCATTTTGCCGGTGCTAATGATGATGATGCTGATGATGATGATGATGATGATGATGATGATGATGATGACGACGATTGTACTGACAACGGTGACGATGGCGATGGTGATGTTTGTTGATGATGATGACGATGGTTGTTATATTGATGAGGATGGTGATCGTGATGGTGATGGATTGTGAAGATGCTGGCAATCATGGTGAGGATAATGACGAGTCTACCGTGATGGTGCTGGTGGTGGTGATGGTGGTGGCGATGACGATGGCAACGGCAACGACGATGACGATGCTGGTTCGGACATTGATCGCGATGAAGTTGCGGTTGGTCATGGTGACGAAGGCAATGCAATGATGGTGGGCCGGTGATCGTGGCGACGGTGATGATGGCTTCCATCGGCATGCCAGCGCGCGTGCACGTAGCTTGTATGACATTATTGAATCGCTTCGCTCATTCCGCCGGCCCGTGATATGGCATCGCTGGTTTTTGTCTGTGTGTTCGTTGCCCATGTTGCGCTCTTGGGGGCGGGTGTCGTTCGGACGCGTTGCGTGGGGAGTTTTGATGGTGAAGCAGTTCCCTGGGGGTCGTCTCTCGATGGGGCGAAATAGAGTCGTCGTCAAGATGCTTCTTTGGGGGGCCTCTTGGGGTCTGTTGAGAGGCCGTTCGGGGGCGCCTGGGAGACATGTTTGAAGCCTTCTGGGGCTTCTTTTGGGCCTCCTGGGAGTCTCCTGGGGCCTCTTGGCGACATCTTGGGGCCTCTTGGAGGCCTCTTGGGGCCTCTTTGGGACCTCCTGGGCGCCTTCTGGGACGGAGGGCTCCATTTTTGAGTTCTCGGTATCCCTCCTGAGTCCCTCTTGGGCCCGTCTTGGGGCCTCTTGGTCCGTCTTGGGCGGCACTTGGGCCGTCTTGAGGGCTCTCTTGGGTCGTTTCGGCGCCGTCTTGGGAGCTTCGTGGGCCGTCTTGGAGCGGTCTTGGGGGCCTCTTGGGCCGTCTTGGAGCGTCCGGAAGCCGAAAAAGCCAGAACACAAAAAACATAGAAAAAACAATGAAAATCAACGATTTTGGCCTCTTGGGGCTCTCTTCGGAGGCCTCTTGGAAGGCTCTTGGGGCGTCTTGGAGGCCTCTTGGGCTGTCTTGGGGGCCTTTTGGGCCGTCTTGGGGTCATCTTCGGCGTCTTCGAGCGCTCTTTGGGCGTCTCGGGGGCCTCTTGGGCAGTCTTGGGGGCCTCTTGGGGCACTCTGAGCGCGCTCTGGGGAGCCTGAGAGGCCGCACCCAGAAGGAAAACCATCTCTGAGTAGACTTGGTCGGGCGTTGGTCGGGGTACTTTTCGCCGGGGGACCCCCAGGGGCCGCCCCGCGCGCGCGAACTAGAAATACTGTTAATACTGTTAACCAGTTACCGGAGATCTTAGCACGCCCTGGCCCGTTGGGCCGGCGAATTTGACAGACTTGGCGAGCGCGCGATAATTGTTGGGTGATATCGGCATGAGCGCGCTTGTGGCTTGCATGGGTTCATGTGGCAACACCGTTAAGCACAAACGATGGATTACACATGGGGTCAACGAGTGCGCGCGTGTGGTCTGCATCGTGTTATTTTCGTACGAAGCCATCTGGCAGAATGTTGGATGTCAAAGCGTCTGCTCCGAAAGATGATCGTTGATTCTGACAAGGGTGAGGGTGAAGGATGGCACGAGGTCATATTGAGGGTGAGCGACCATGCGTTTGAGGGACAATTTTATATTCTTTGGAAAAGGAAGCCTAGGCCTATGCGGCGCACTCGAAGTTTAGGTGGAGGGCACGCAGCGCGGCGAATGCCCAGGTCCCCTCTGGCGGCGACGGCGGCAGCGACGTGCAGCAACCAGGGCCCGCGTGGGGCGCGATGTGCGTGAGGAGTGCCCAGGGTCCAAAGCGGCGGCGACGCGCAGCGACTTGCAGCAACCACGGCCGTTGGCGGGGCACGAAGTTCGTGAGGAATGCCCACGGCCCCACGCGGCGGCGACCCCGGCGACGTGAGACGTGCGACAACAACCAAGGCCATAGGGGGCGTGACGTGCAGGTAATGCCCAGGGCCCAACGCGGCGGCGATGGCGGCGACGGTGGCGGCGTGCGGAAACCAGGCGAATTGGACGGGACGACATGTGCGCGGGGATCTGCCAGGCCCCCCCGCGGAAACCAGTTCTTTTGATGGGCGGGGAAACAGGATTCAGCCTGTCAGCCGGAAAGGACGCGGGTCTTACATTCGATCGTCTTCAGGCGTTTTGCTCCAGCCCCACCTGGCCATTGCGAGTGTCGGCTGGCCCCCGAGGAAGTTGGCAGCGCTCGAGTGCGAGTTGTTCAAGCCGTCCATGATGACCTCCGCCAAGACCGAGGCGATATTCGGCGAGGGGGGTGGGTGAGAAGGCGGAGGGAGGACGATGAGGGAAAAAGGGCAGGAGTGAGGAGGAAACGGTAAGCGAAAAGGGGACGGAGTTGGAATCGGAGGGGGGAGGGGGAGGATTATGACGAGTGAGAGGAGAAGAAAGATAATGGAGGGACGTGGGATGAGGTTGAGGGGAAACGGGAACAATTGACCAACCATGGAGAGGATCAGGCGGGAAGAATAGGAAATAGGAATAGCAATATAAATGCGACGGCGTTAACGAAGAGTAGCATTTCCCCTCCCTGCACCCCTCGCCGAACGAGACGAATCGGTATTGGAGCGGCTTGTGTGCAGTTTCGGCTCGCCATCTGTGTAAACCTCCAAGAATTCTACCGCTCGCGGGGCCGCCGCCGCGGGATTTACGCTCAGCTATGGGAGGTGTGCCTCGCCGGGCCGCGCTTCGCAGGCCCGCCTTCCGCTTCGGCCACCGATGCGGCGCGGCGACAGATGCGCAGATCCGAAGCCGCCAGCTCCATGCGACAGCGTTCCGGAACTATCCTTTGGACATGACGAAATTCCATGAACGCATGTCGATTGAGCGTTTCGAGCTCCACTGCTTGAGATGCCGTTTCCCGCCCGTGCTTTTCAAGCTGGCCCTGTCTGCTTACCGCTGCGCCCGCGTCATGGGCATGGGCAACTAGACGGCAGGGCCTTTTCACTCGCGCAGGGGGGTTATCGCTGGATGCAGTCTTGCCGCGTCGTTCGTGAATGTCCATCACGTCGTATGTTTCTACAACAATGTTCCCCCCAACACTTCACGCGATCAGCACGCAGATGAGCGTGGTCCATCGCGCACTGGATCGGTCGCCCAAATCGCTTTGCGTTTGAAGAGGTCCTCGGCTAGCCTGCGCCATGCCATCGTTGATGAGGTGGGCTGCGAGATCTCGCGCGATAGAAACTACCTTTGGCACGTCTAGCAAGGATGCGATGACGCAGTTCATCGCCTTTTTAGAACCTGGCAGGAGAGCCCACTGGCAGCGCGGCCACTCTAGGCATCGACGATACTGATGGCAGGCCTAGGAGGGCGGCTGAAAAGGAGCAAGCGACTTAAAGTTATGATCTCCCACCTTGAGGCCATCACGAGGTAAATGGGCATCCCTCCCGCCCCGGCAGGTCTAGCAAGCGCACGCGGGCCTCGCGGGCCTCACCAGGCGTCTTGCACGGGGCCTAAGTTCGTGGCATTTCGGATTGCGAGCTGCGGGGGGGGGGGGTCCGCGGGGCAGCGGGGGAAGTCTTGAGGCCCAGGGCTCCAGGACACTCCCCGACATCCACCCTCTTCCTTAACGCCACGCGGTCGGGGGCTGCGGCCCCCATCGTCAGGTGCTGTGAAGAGGCGTGGCCTGCCCGGGCCCGCTCCTGCCCTCGCTCCCTCCCCCGCCCTTTCCTCGGGGAAACTTGGGAGCCGGCGCGACAGAGGCATGCCCCTTCTTGACGGCAGGTTGGAGGGCCATTGTCTTCGACGAGGCTCTCTCTCGTTGGGATCGGCTGGAAGATGCCGAGCTTTGCCGCGCCCCGGAAGGACTTCGCCGATGAAATCCAGCTCGCGACGGCCCCTCCTGCTCAGCCTTTTCTTAGGGCGGCTGTCCTTCGCCAGCTAGGACGGCGGTCGCGCGCTCAGTGAGAGTTGCCTTGCGGTCGAATGCGTCGCGATATCGTTCGGAACCAGATCAGACCAAGAAGTGGTCGGCGTTAGCCACAGGCACGATCCGAAGCATCACTTGCGACGCTCTCTGGACTCTGGACCCACTAGGGGGCGGCCAAAGCTGGATACCAGGCGATCGGAGATCGGTGCGCGATGCGCGGGCAGCGCGGCGACACCCCGTTTCCACAGGATTTCGGAGCGCCCGAAGTCCGAGGCCTCGAGAGCCGATCTGATCGATCAAGATATCTTAGAAGCGGCTGCCGCGGCGGACCCGACCGACCCCTTCGCGAGTTTGTTGTTGTGTCGCGGTTTGTTCCCGCATCCGGGGGGCGTGTTTCTTCGTCCTGTGGCCGGGCGCTCCGACTTGCAGGCTGTGGAGGTCTGGCCCGGGGCGCCCCCTGGCGATGGCGATTTCAGCGGGTTGATCTCTAGTGACGGGTGCTGTTCCAGGTATCAAGTTTTTGAGCTCTCCAGGGCTGGATACGGGCTCTGCCTTACAGACGAATTGGGGCCGGAAAGATGCACGATTTACGCCCCAGTGTTCGCCCCTTCCCAGCAGACCCCGCAATGTGGTGAATTTGCCGCTTTTGCGAGGGCTTGAGTGGAGGTGGCGAGCTTTTCCTTAGCTCTTAGGAATTATAAGGACGTGGTCGATCTAGCCCAGGCCCCTAAATAGCTCCAGTTTTCCTACGAGAGACCTCGCGCGGGCCGCATGGCCACGTTCAATCTAGGAACCCTTCTCGTTCCGGACGGAGGTCTGCAATGTCAAAGCCAACTTCGACCCAGAGGAAATATGGCATTTCTCTGGAGGACATGTGGCGCAGATTAGATAGCCAGGCTGCGGGCAGAGTGGCCGATGCACCCCGATGCTTCAGGAGACGAGCAGCAGGGCTTAGATTGTTGCAGCAGAGTGTCCAATGCGGCTTCTCAACTAGCTGGTGGCATCATGCACCAGTGGCCGCGGCTCGATTTTTCGGAGTTCCTCTTAGTTCCCCCCGAGATGCCTCCCAAGACCCTGAAGGCCACCATCGACTGTGATTTCTTTGCGAGTGACCACATCTTGTTGCTTCAGGCCTCGCACAAGTATGTCTGCAGCCTCTGCGACAGCTTCGCCAACAAACGGGACTCCTCAGCGCCCGTGCGTCTCCCAGCCCAGCGCGCGGCGCGGGTGCGGGGGGGGGGCTGAGGGCAGTTTACCAGCTGATGACGATATTTCCAGGGCGGTGGACGGCGAGGCTCAGGCGGGCGGAAAGGTGCTGCGCGGCTCGCATGCGCCAAAGTTCGGGCACCGCTCCCCCCTTATATTTGTCGCGCGCGCGGATCTGGATCTAGTTCGACGGCCCCTCTCCCCGAAGCCTTTCTCTGGATCTAGTTCGACGGCCCCTCCCCCCGAAGAGGTCGCGAGGCCGCGACGGCTCCAGCCAGCCGCGCAGGAGGCAGAATCTGCAGATTCAGATTTGGAGCGCGCTCAACCCAATCTCACTCGCAGGGAACTGGCGGGGTGCAAAGCCGCGAGCCCAGCGGCGTCGCCCCTGGAGGGTTTATCGCGAGGTCCTGTCAACAAAAACTCGCGCGCCGAAGGCGACGCGACGAACGCGGCGGGCGTCTTCGCGGACGTCTTCACGGGGGCGCGGGGGGGGGGAGGGGGGGCACGGGGGGCGTGAGAACGGCAGGATGGAGCGCCGTAGCGCGCCGCGCGTTGAAGCCGAGTGGCCAGGGCGCCCCCGCGATCGCGGCCTGCGGCCAGCGTCGCGGCCAAGAAGATGGGCGTCGGCTTCATTGGGGGCGCAGCGATCGCGCCCAGCGCGGGGGGGCACCGCTCCTCCGTCGTCCCTCCTCGTCCCTCCACGTCCCTCCTCCTCCCTCCTCCTCCCTCCTCCTCCTCCTCCTCCTTCCTCCTCCTCCTTTCTCCCCCTCCTCCCCCTCCTCCTCGTCCTTGGAGGCGTTGCTGCGGCTATTTTCGGGCAGTGGGCGCGCGAGGGGCCCGCCGCGCGCGAGATGGGCGGATCGCGACGCCGATCGCGGACTCTCCGCCCGCGCGCAGGGGCCGCTGGAAAGTTACTTCGCGCCGTGGCTTCCTCCTCCTCCTCCTCCTCCTCCTCCTCCTCATCCTCATCCTCATCCTCATCCTCATCCTCATCCTCATCCTCATCCTCATCCTCCTCCCCTCCCCCTCCATCCCCTCCCCCTCCCCTCCCCCTCCTCCTCCTCCTCCTCCTCATCCTCCTCCTCCCCTCCTCCTCCTCCTCCTCCTCCTCCTCCTCCTCCTCCTCCTCCTCCTCCTCCTCCTCCTCCTCCTCCTCCTCCTCCTCCTCCTCCTCCCGTCCAGGCTCGGCGCCTGTTGCCCAGGCGCGCTTCCCCCGCGGGCGCGCTGAGTCGGGGGCCGCAGCGGCGCGGCGGGGAATGAGAGGGCCGACGCCTTGGCGGAGAAGGGATCAGAGAAACTGGCGCAGGGCGCGCACAGGGGGGGCCCTGCCCTGGGGCTGACTGGGGGAGAAGCAGCCCCGCGCGAGATGCATTGGCATGATCGAGCCAGGCGGGCCGCCGGGAAAGGGAGGCGCGAGCGCATTCGTCGAGAGGATGAGGGCGTGGCGTTCCGCTCCCTGCCGAAGCCGGCCGAGGGCCAGGGCGCCGGCCAGGGCGGGGCGCCTTCCATCGCAACGCGCAGTGCCGCGACTACCGCGGCAGCGACGGCTTCGGGGCGCGCGCCGAGGCGGGGGGGGATGGGGGACTTCCACCACGCGGCGCGCAGCTCCTCCGGCTGCAGCACTTCGTGAAGGTCACGGCCGAGGAGAGCGACATGCGCGCGGGGTGCCTGCCGGGCCCCCCCGGCCCATCGTTCCCATCGAGAGGACCGCGCGGCTGCGCCGCGACGGGGCCGCGGCCGCGCGGACGGACCTCGCGGGGCCCGCATGCCCTTCTTCGCCCTGATCATGCCCCGCGGCTCGCAGGTGATATTCCTCGGGGCGTCGCGAGCTTGCGAGTGCACTACGCAGCCTCGTTCCACGACTGAAAGTGCCATAGACATTTCCCAGAGCGGGCGCCTCGACAGTGGGCAGGAGAGGATCAGCAGTCGGCAGCGCGGGCGACCTTGAGCCCCATGAGAGCTTGTGCCCAGATGTTGAAATCCAGTGAGTAGCGTCGCGAGCATGGTATGGCAGTGGCCGAGCTGTTGCAAGCATGTCAGGAGGATGTCATATCTAGCCTCCTGGACGCCTGCAAGTACAGGCTTGGGGATGATGTAACGGAGATCGTTGTCGTTCGTGAAACTTGGCGAGAACGCGTGGCGAAGATGATTAGGATACACCAGAGGCCACCACGGTAGCCGAATGATGAACAATTCTTGTAGTTTCGGTTAGTTTGCAGATATGTGGGTGGTGTCTTTGGAGATTGAGAGGCCCACCTTGGAAGCTGATCGCACCCAACTCCTCATATATTGCGTTCAGGCGAGTTTACAACGCTCACGACCTTGTTTGTCATCATGCATCGTTCACCTCAGAGTCCTTGTGAATAGAATGTGCCGCCTCGCGCAATAGTCGGAGAGCGCAGCGACAGTTGTTGTTACGCGATCCGATTCCCACTGGTAGCTCGCGTGGACCGCCGCGTCCACGGCAATGGTCGCAGGGCTGACAAAAGGCTGGGCAGAGACAGTTGAGCAAAGATGGCCCCGAGGTTGTCGTGCATGAAATTGGGGTGGTGCTTCGCTTCTTTTTGAAATACCGCCACGCTTCGCGTTCGCAGCGCCTTGAGTCCTTTTGAACAAAAATCCATGGTACTCGCATTCTTGGGCACGTATGCGGTTTCCGACTGTAGCTGTAATCATGAAGATCCGAATGGGCTCAAACGCGTTTGGCGCCCTTGGGCAGCACAGCACACAAGAATAGGATAACACATTTGAGAAATAGTAGCCACATGACGCGTTTACAAATTGTTGGTGCATGTGCGCGCCCAGCTATGACATTGTACAGTGTGGATTGCACATTATCGTATATGTCCTGCGTCGCATCTCTACAGGACACAATACGATGCTGCGCAAAATGGTCCGCCCCCCGAGAGCTGACGATGCGTGCGGCTATATATGAAGGCGGCCATGCCTTCGTTTCGGGCTCGAGCCCTGGGCCCAGACCTGCCGCTGCGTCTCACACATGTGGGCGGGGTACCTCCGCCGTCTGGCCCCAAAGCCGCCTGGGATGGTCGCCTTCCGGGTCCTGAAGCACCGAGATCGGGGATGGCTGAGAGCAATGGAGCGCTGGCAGGCATCCTAGCTGCACCACAAGAGTGCCCGCAGTTGGAGATGGGAATGAGATTTCTATACTTTGTTTGGTTTCGAGTAGCCCTGCCAGGCCCACCCGGCTCATTCCTGGAAGGACACACGCAAGACGTGGCTTGAATTGCGGATCCTTTTTCAGATAGTTCGTTGGTTGCCCCAGCAAGATTACCCTTTTCTGCAAAGTCGGGTCCTTGCGCCGCAGTTGTATGATGCCCAACGGACGAATCAATCCGTTCGATTTTTCTCCTGGCTTTTACCGCACCAGCCTGCTTACATCCCCATCGCCCATGATGTACGATGCCCCCTTGTGTCAGCGATCTAGCTATCCCTGCAGGTTTCTTCTTGTTCGCGCGCGTATGTTGTCCAGTCCTGTTCGGTGTCTTAATTGCTTTTAGGGCACGGTGATGGTTGTGATCCCCCCTCCTCGCAGCCGCTTACATGTTACTTTACGCTCTGTTGGGCCACTGTTCTTTTGATAACGGCCTCTTTGCACATATGTCCTCCGCAGCGATAAGTAGCTTAGTTTGCGTCCGTTCTGCTTGAGTCGGTGATAGATCCACGTTCAGTTCCCCAGGAACGCTGCGAGCCCACAGTGTGAAGTCCGATTAATATTAAGAAAACAAGGATAAATTGAGCGATGTGGGAGAGAGACGGCTACCCGTGCACGTGGGTTGTCGGGGCTGGCCGCGAAGGTGCTCATTCGGGTGAGCATCTCGTGCAACGAGGACACCGGTTCTAACTCTTGTTGCGAAGGGGGTTCCAGCAGCGGGCCAGGAGCAGGGTGGTGTGCAACAGTAGGTGTTCTGTCCCTTTCCGTCGCATGGTTCTCGTCGTCGCCCTCATCCTTCCCATCCTCCACCCTCCCATCCTCGACCCTCCCATCCTCCACCCTCGTCTACCTGCATCTTCTTGTCTTTGTCTTTTCCTCTCCCTTCACCCCGTCCCTCTCCTCCATCCCCCATCTCTCCCTCCCCCTCCCTCCCCTGTTTCCTCTCTCCCCATCTCCCCCTTAAGCCCACTTTCTCCACCTTACTCATCGGGCCCCCTTCGTCCTTCCTGGCCGTTTCATTCATTTCCGTTCTCCCCGTCACAGGTCTATTGCCCGTCCTTTTCACCCTCCCCCAGACGCTCCCCGTCTACCTCCCCTCGTCGATTTGCCCGACCTTCACTCGACATCTCTTTTTCCCCCCTCCCACGGGCGTGGACATATAGCCCCGATCAAGCCGGGCCGTGGCGGCTGAGGCGCCGAGCACCGATTGCCTGTTCGGCGGCAGGCACAGCATTGAGGTGTGTTTCTCTGCGCCATTGGTCCGATTACGATCAGGACTCATCATCATCTTCAGAACCATCCCAGCCCCGACTGGGGCATGGTAAATCCATGACGTTTCGCATATCCCAAACAGCCCATCCGCCAGCGATGCCCGAGCGGGTTTTGGCGGGCAGGGGGGTTTCGTTGCATGCAGTGGGACACTTCGAAGGAGGGCAGCCGTCAAGCAGACGATCGGGATCAGCCTGAGCAGGCACACGAGCCAACTACGAATGCCCTCGTGGATCTGTCGACGCAGGAGCCTCTTGGCAGCTTACCTCGGCCGTCTCGGGGCCTTGTTGGGTCAAGCTCGGAACCCCTTGAGGCTCTCTTGGGGCCCTCTTGGGGCCCTCTGGTCCCCTCGTGGATCTCGGGGCCCCCTCGGGGGCCAAAAACGAGGGAGCCGTCAACTCGGCCCCCGATTCGGGAATCGAAGAATTGAAGCTTGGGGCGCTCTTGGGGCAGTCCAGGGCCCCTCTTGGCTCTCTTGGGCGATGTGGGGGCCACCTTGAGGCCTCAAGACAGAGCCTGTCGGAAGCAGATAGGCGAGAAGACACCACTCATTGAGTTTCCCTGGTTCGGGAAGGGCTGTGGCCTTTCGGGGGATGGTACTTAGAAGGCTCCGTGGCCGCTTCGAGCCATCTTTGGACGGTCATGGCGCCTCTTGGAGGCATGTTGGAAGCCATATTCAGTCATCTTGGGCTGCTTTATGCGATCTTGGATGCCACCTCAGGCTATTTGGGAACCTCTTGGAGCCATCATGGGCCATCGTGGACGCTCCAACGGCCAGCGAACCGCCCCCTCCAGACCCAGGGAGAGGGTGTAGGGGGACGGGTAAATCTCTTCCCCCGAAGTGGAAGAAGGAGATGACTCGTTCAACTACCTACGCTCGAAAGGCTGGTGGGATTAGCTGTTGCAGCGTGCGTGCCCTGTGCTTGTGGGGTAAGCCCTGCTCCGCGGCCGCTATCCTATTTTCACTTTTGGTCTGGCGAGCAAGTAGCCCTGCCGCGCCCCGTCTGCTCATGCCCGACGCTTCGTGTCGGACGTCGCCGCTGACATAGCATCGGCGGAGATGGGTGCTGCGAAACGCGAAAATGACGATGCCCGTCCCCAACTCGGAGGTGTAGGTCGGCCAGCGGAGCCAAGCATTGGTTCCCTCGCCAGCGTGGGTAGGGCTTCCCTTGTCCGGAAAAGCTTCTCCGACCTCTCCCCGACCCCCCCCCCTTTTTCGCGTCACTCCTCCGGGGCGTCTGTCCGCTCGGGGGCCGTTTCTCCTGCGCGCGCATTGTGTGGCGAGCCAACTTGTTCGTGGGGGGAGCAGAATCGCCACCCCCAGGGAATGCCGATCTCTGTATACAGCCCCCGGCAGGTGCAAAATTGTATCCCCAGGTGCAACATCGTGTCCCCGGCCAGCTTGTTTGAGGGGGTGGCGTGTGCAGAAATCGTGTCCCCAGTCCGCGCCTCTACCCGCGGGCCCGGCAGGCAGATCAGCCACAATTGGGGCCAGTTGGTTGCGCACCCCCTCTCGTGAGATCGTCGACGCGACGGGTTCCCACGTTGGGAGGGGGGCGGGAGCACAGCCCCCCCAGCTCTGGCTGACCGGGCAGGATGGCACGTTCCTAGTGTACACCATGCCGGACTCGACCGCGGGGCCGCAGAGGCCGCGCGCAGGGTTTCTGTTCGTCATGTCTCCTCGCTCGCCCTTTCGTTCGTTCCTCGGCCTCCTCCTTCTCCCGTTCCTTTCGCTGCTCCTAGCCATCTGGTGTCCGGCATCACGGCATGAGGGCTGGGCCGCCTTCGTGTGGATCTTCGCAGGTCCCGCTCCCGTGGATCTGCGCGCCTCGCCCCTTCGCCCTCCCTGCGCGAACGGGCCCGGTCCGCGGCCGCATTGTGATCGGGAGCCGCCAGACTCCCCCGCCGCCCCTCAAACAGGGCGGTTCCTTCAGGGGTGGCCGACTGTCTGCTTTGCTGCTCCTCTTCATCATCCTTTTCTGCTCCCTCCTCGTGGGGACTTGGGAGGCAGCCTGTTCCTACACTAGGGCCAGTGGGGGAGCAGAGGGGAGGGGCGACGCTGGGCCCGGCGCCGCGCCGCGACAGGTCGCCGTCTCTCTCCTCCTCCGGGAGCCAGGACCGCGGCCCGGCCCCGCCGGCGAGCTCCCCGCGCGCCAGCCACTCGCCTCGCCGGGGAAGAAGGCCGATCCTGACCAGCCGGCAGTTAACGTCGGTACGATTCAAGTGGGTACGGAAGGAATAATCATGTGGGCGTTTCCATTTGAAACAGAAGGCCGCTTGCCCAACAGCGGCCGTTGTCGGTTTCCGTAGCCATTTTGGCTCAAGCCCTCCGCCCCTCGAGCACCCCCCTGGGGGCGGCGGCGGCCCCGAAGCGATGGGCCGCGGGCGGGCGGCGGCGGCGCCGCCCAGCGCGGCGCTGCCCGCCGCGGGGCGGAGAGGCCTGGCGCCGCGCTGCTTGGCCCTCGTGGCGGCCGCGGCGCTGCTGCCATCCCCCGGGCGGCAGCGCCCCGCGCGCGACAGCCTCCTCGCTCTCGCCGGGGGCCCCGCCGGCGGCTCCTGGCGGGGGCCCGGGGCGCGGCCGCGGCCGCGCCCGGGCACGGGCGCGGTGGCCGCGAGCGCGAGCACGAAGAAGCAGGCGTCCGAATGGCTGCTCGCGACTGCGAAGAGTCTTGCGAAGAATTCTTCGGCGAAGAGGGTCGGCACCGCAATCCTCGTCGTCATGGCCGACGGCGCCTGGGAGAAGATCACGGAGCTGGCGCAGGAGCTGGTCATCGGCAAGAAGATCACGGAGCTGGCGCAGGAGAAGGCGGACGAGATCAAGCACAAGAACCAGAACCAGAGCGAGCGTAAGGAGCGGGAGAAGGCGGACGTGCTGGCCAAGATCGAGGACCCCAAGATGACGATCGAGGAGCTCACGAAGACCATCGAGATCCTGAAGGAGCCCCGAAGGCAGACGGCCGAGGCGGCAGAGGAGGCCACGGAGAGGAAACCCAGCCTGGGCGATGCGGGCCGCCCCGAGGTGCCCCCTGCAGCGGGCAGCGCGGCAGCGGCCCGCGAGCCCGAGGCGAGCGCCCCCGAGGAGGCGCCGAGGCCTCCCGCGGGCAGCGCAGCGGCAGCAGCCCGCGGGCTCCGGGCGAGCGCCGCCGATGAGGCACGCAGGCGTCTGGAGAAGGAGGTCAGTCAGTTGTGGGAAGATGCCAAGTTGTCAGAGAGCTCCAGGGCGCTGGCGGTGGAGTGGTGCGACGACAACGGCGTCGTGGCCCTGATGGAGATCCTCGAGAACAAGGAGGAGTTTGTCGAGGCGCTCCAGCTCAAGAAGATGAAACAGAAGCGCCTGCTTAAGCAGCTCATCGAGCTCGGCGACGAGATGCTGGAGGAGGCAGAGAGCGAGCCCGAGGAGGAGGGAGAAGAGGTTAAGTACTCTGTGATACACTTGGTCTTTGGCCATCCTGCGGAGGTTGCCAAGGGCGTCGAAGCTCTCCTCGGCATCACGACTCAGGAACGCATCAGTGGAGAGGAGAAGGGGTTGGATGCCATTTGGGAGGAAGTGAAGAGTGCTGGCACAGAGAAAGATTGCGCCAACCTCCAGTACATTCTCCACGCCGTCGCGCAGGAGGAGTCGAGCCTTCCGCCCCACGTGGTCGAGGACTACAAGAACGGCTGCTACCACGGAGGGCGACTCGCGGAAGGCGACTATGATTTTGGCCATGCGGGCATGACTTTCCAATCGTTCATGGAGAGAGACGAGGCCAAGCTGGCGGATCTCAACGAGCCAGAACTGTGCTCGATTCGTCTTTATACGACGAGCTCGTTCCCGCTCTTCAACAGACCCCTGCGCCAGGGCGTTAAGCCGCACCCGATGGCGATTACCGTGTATTTTCTGATCAATGGCATCAAAAAACTTCGGGCGGTCGCCGCGAGCAAGCCTGGCTTCCAGGACGAGAAGCGGCTTTACCGGGGCATGAAGAATGCGGACTTGGACCTAGTGAAGTTCAAGGCCGAAGGAGGTGCTGAGTTGGGAGCCGTGTCGACGACTCCCACACTGGAGGTGGCACACAGCTACTCAAGGAGCAGTCGGCCGCTGCTCTTCATGTTCCTTGCAAAGGGACTGTCCAAAGGAGTGGAGATTTCATGGTGCAGCGTTTACCCAAAAGAAGATGAGGTGCTGTACCCACCTGGCACCTTCTTGCGCTACGTCAGGGACAAGAAGGACCCAGAGGGCACCAAGATCATCCAGATCGAGCCGCAGATTCCTTGAGCTGGGCCTTCGGACGCACTCTCCACCATCGCATCCTGTGAAGAGTGTCATCCAAGGTGCGTGCGCTTCATGTTTTGCTGGTCGAGATCAGCCTCTTGTCGTCTGTATCCACGTGCCTGCTGTAAAGACGCCACCGCGCCACGGGTCGGCAGCGAGTCGTTAGACACGCTTTCCTGCCTTCACGTCTGGTGGCAACGTGGCTTCTCGCCTGTGACCTCCTTGTAGCGTTCGGTATTTATGCGGCGTCGTAGCTGAAAGACTTCCCTCTGACTGGCGGCGTGGCGCAGCTTCACGGACAAAAAAACAAAAAAAAAAAAAAAAAAAACGGCCGTTGTCGGTTTTGGACATATTTTGCTTTTTGCCAGCGTAAAGGGAGCTCAGCCAAGAAGCCAGATCTTGGAGGATCTTGCAACGCTGGAGTTTGGTTGAGCAAGGGTTGGGAGCTCATCGCGGCCTTGGATGTGGCCTTACATGTTGGTCGGGCTGTGTTCAGCAAGGCCCTCACGAATTTGCATCGTTGTTTTTTGTCTAAATTGGCTGAGCCGGGTGCGCGCTGCACCGATTTAGTTAGCCCACGCCCGATTTCAGGGGGAGCAAGTCCTGGCGGACCACGGAGGCTCCCGGGCCTGGACCAGTCTTCGGATTCGGTGAGCTGTCCGTTCCTGGCAAGCTTGGCCAGGCCCGTCTCCGTCCACCTCCTCCCGCCTTACCTTCTTGCCCCTGATGCTGTCAAGGGGCTGCCTCTGTGCCGCTTGAGCTCTGAGATAGCGTCGCATAGCTCTGGACAGCGCTCGACGGCCTTCCTGGTTGCGCCCGACAGCGTCTCGCAACGCTCCAGGAACCTGAGCCGAAATTGCTTCAAACTGTTGCCGTCGCCGCAGTCGCCAGGCCAACCGCTTGTGACGGCGGTCGCAATGGCACTAGCGGCAGTATCAATCGTTGTCGCGTTCACATCCGTGGACGCGGCACGCGCATGGTTATTGTAGACGCTGTAGCCAGCATCGCAGCCAAAGACGAACTCGCAGACCAAGGCTTTGGCCCCAGTAGGTGCCGCGATCCATTCATAATTACTAATGGTAGCAGCAAGTGTGGTCGCACTGGCGTTTCCCGTGTTGTCCCACGGCAGAACCAGAGGACAGGGTTAAGCGTTTGGTTCCCCCAGTGGTTGGTAAGTGTTGGCCGTCCACACCTCTTCCGGATCAGGTTGTATGATGATGAGCTAGCCGACGTTTTCGAACATCATCGTGGCGCCATCTGACGCTATCGGACACCATCATGACGCTGCCATAACGTAATCGAGTGGAATGCAAGAGAGGTCCTGGATTTCGTACAGGCAACATTCACTCTTGCACGTTGGCCTTTTGACAATGCTTGAAAGCGTCCGGCAGCGTCATGTATCTTTCCGTCTGTTTCGTTCTTCGCGGGGGATTCTATTTCTTTAGGCTCGATCTGACCCAAGAGCTTGATTCCGTGATGCTCGTTCGGGTAGGTCTGGGCAGCAATGGCCTCGAAAACGACCGACATCTCGTCAATTTGAGGAGGCGCAACAGCCCGCGGGAACGCTATCAGGCGCTAACGGCCCTATAAAAACCTGAACACACTAGAATGCAATTTCATGTTAGCAGCGGTTGGAAAGTATTATACTCCCCCTCGCCCTCCATCAGCCTCCTCCTCCTCGTCCTGCTCAGGTTCCTTAATTTTCCTCCCGTCCACCTCCTCCGCCTCCCTGCGCTCTCCCCCTCGCTTCCCCTCGCCTTCCTCCTCCCTCCTCTTCCTCACTCCTCCCCATTCTCATCTCCCCCCCGTTTTCCCACCACCTTCCCCTTCCCCCTTTCCATCCTCATCTTTCCTTCGGCTCCTCTTCTCCTCGCTTACGAGTGTAGTAATTGGTCTAAGCCGCTTGAAGTGAGCAGTTTTTATGCCCCAGCGCCTTACTTTGCTCTGCTTTGGGGCAGAAGAGCTGATATGGCAGCAGACGCGGCTCTCGACTTCTCTTTCTTCTTCTTCTTATTATTATTCTTCTTTTTCTTCTTCTTCTTCTTCTTCTTCTCTGGGCTCTCCATTTGTTTATCCTTATCTTTCTTTCATGGTCCCGAGTGGGCCCCCTAGGTTGTCAAGAGGGTCTCGAGAGGCGCCCAATGGGCTCCAAGAACATTCCCAAGAGACTTCTAAAGACTCCCAAGCGGTCTCAAAGAGGCCCTCAGGCCTCAGAATCCTCTCCCCTCCCAGAGGCAGTTCAGATGCTCCATGAGGCTCCCGGGACTGCCAAGAGACGCCCAAGATGCCATAAGAGGCCTCCAACAGAGGAGGGGACTAACATCCCACCAGCCCTTTAGGGCGTGAGTGGTTTTGATACCCCCCTCTTCCAACCTTCTTCGTCTTCGGTACCCCCCCAGTGCGTCAAAGATGGCCCAAGATGGCTCCAAAAAGGCCCCAGGGAGCTAAAGATGGCCTCCAAGATCGCTGAAGATAGCCCAACATGGCCAAATATAGCTTGCAACAGACCTCCAAGAGGCTTCAAGATCCCCCCAAGCCGACTCTATATGTGGCCAAATGGCCTCCCAAGGACGCCCTGGGAGGGGTCAACAATCGTCCAGCACCTTATAGAAATCAATGTTTTTGTTTGCCTTCTCGCCTTTTCGCTTCCGATGCGCTTCTAAAGCCTCGAGATGGCTCTGGTATGGACCAAGAGATCTCCATCAGGGGTCCGAGAAAGGCCCAAGGTGACCCCAAGAGCGCCCAAGGCCGTCCCAAGACCGTCCCAAGAGAGCTCCAAGAGGCGATTTTGAGGATTCCGACGGGGGGATCTAAATTGACGCCGCCTTCTTTGTTGGTCGATGGCTTCCAAGACGGCCCAAGAGAGGCCCAAGAGGGTCCCAAGATGGCCCCAAGATGGCTTCAAGAGCGCCCCGAGAGGCCGTCAAGAGGCCGCAACCCTTCTAAGACCTCAATTCGCAGGCCCAACGGACCAGAGGCGTGCTCGAGTCTCCAGTAATGTCCAATACCTGTTTACAAAAAATATGGCCCTCCCTCACCCCCCTGGATCCCGAGTGTCATTAACACGCCGGCGGAGAATTGTTTGTTGAATTGCCCCTGAAAAAATATTCGACGGAGAGCGAACAGACGTGTGTACTGTAAGCATGTACGCGCACGCGCACGCATTGGAAAATGCATTCGATTTTTTTTGCGTGCAGATGTATAGGCTGCTCCGGTCTACGAATCAGTAATCCTCGTCCTACTGGAACGGTGTACGTGCGTACGCTTCCCACACAGCATGGCCCATGGCGGCGGCGTGCGCGGCTGCCTTGCCCCTCGCACATGGTGTTTGTCCATGCGAGATGCGCGTGGGCCGCCGCGCGCAAGGCGGCCCATAGCCCTTCGCGCATTGTGTTTTCTATACAAGGTGCGCTTGGGCCGCCGCGCGCGCGGCGGCCCTTGGCTCCTCGCGCGGTGTGTTTTTCCATACATGATGCGCTTGGGCCGCCGCACGCGGCAGCCTTGTGCCCCTCGCGCGTTGTGTGTTGTCCATGCAGGGTGCGCGTGGGCCATCGTTTGCGCGGCGGCCCATGACCCCTCACGCAGTGTGTGTGTGTGTGTGTGTGTGTGTGTGTGCGTGTGTGTGTGCGTGTGTGCGTGTGTGTGTGTGTGTGCGTGTGCGTATGCGTGTGCGTGTGCGTGTGTGTGTGTGTGTGTGTGTGTCCGTACAAGATGCGCGTGAGCCGTCGTACGCGGGGCTGCCCTGGCCACTCGCGCATTGAGTAGTTCCACGCAGGATTCGCGGGGGGCCGCCGCGCGCGCGGTCGCCCATTGCCCGTCGCGCGTTGTCTTGCGTTGTTACACGCAAGATGCGCGTCGGCCGCCCCGCGCGCGTGGCGGCCCATGGCTCCTCGCGCATGGTGTTGTTCTACCGGCCGCCGCGCGCGCGGCGGCCCATGGCCCCTCGTGCGTTGTTGTTTCTATGCAAGATGCGCGTGCCCCTTGCGCATCGTGTTTTTTTTCATGCAAGGCGCACGTGGGCCGCAGCGTTCGCGCCGCGGCCCATTGCCATTCGCGCATTGCGTGCTTCCGTTCAAGCTGCGCGTCGGCCGCCGCGATCGCGACAGCCCAACCCTCTTGGGGGGCCTCCTGGTGTTCTCAGGGGACGTCTCGGAGGTTTCTTGGGCCGTCGTGGGGCAATCTTGTTTTTGAGCACGTTCGGCGTGTCGGAGCCCAGCTTGAGCGAGCTTCAGTGGAATCTTAGGCACCGTGGAGGCGACGGGGTCTAGAAATGCATGCGAAGGCCCCCTGTGGGAGCGTTGGGGAGTTCGCCCTTCGCCCACCCCTCCCCTTCGGCCCTCCCCCCGCCCCCCCAAACCCCCTTTTTGGCCCGTCCCTCCCAGGCCCCGCCCGCCCCCCCTCGTTCCAACTGCACCCCAGGGGAGGGAGAAAGAGGGGGGGGGACATCGAATGATTTCACACGCCTTTGCAACCCAGGCAAGCGGGGGCCGGCGGATGTTCGCGTTGGTGTTCGCTATGTGATCCTTATTCCCCACATGTTTCGTGGGGTTATGTTTTTTTCGTTGCCGCGTCCCACCCGCGACGCTCACTCACTCATTCACCTCCCTCAGCACAGCACGCAACACAACACAGCACAGCACAGCACACAGCTGCACAGCACAGCGCAGCACAGCACAGCGCAGCGCAGCGCAGCACATCACAACACAGCTGCACATCGCAGCATAGCGCCGCACAGCACAGCGCAGCGCAACACAGCACAGCACAACACAAGCACACACATACACACACAACGCACACACGCACACATCACAACACATTGAGCACACACACACACACACGCACACAAGCAGCACAGCACAGCTCAGCACAGTTCAGCACAGCTCAGCACAGCATACAGCTCAGCGAGGGCCGCGACGCGCGCTCGCAGCGCGGCTGGGGGGCTGAGGTGGGGTCTCCGAGCGCGGCGTCTATGCGGGCCATGGCGCAGGGCGCGGCAGGTGTGGCACTTTCTCGATTTCGTAGGGGGTGCGCAGGGGGTGGTTTCCGAGCGCGGCGTCTATGCGGGCCATGGCGCAGGGCGTGGCAGGTGTGGCACTCTCCTCACCCTTAAGGGGGTGCGCAGGGGGTGGTCTCCGAGCGCGGCGTCCATGCGGGCCATGGCGCAGGGCGTGGCAGGTGTGGCACTTTCCCCCACCCCGTAGGGGGTGCGCAGGGGGTGGTCTCCGAGCGCGGCGTCTATGCGGGCCATGGCGCAGGGCGTGGCAGGTGTGGCACTTTCTCGACCCCGTAGGGGTGTGCAGGGGGTGGTCTCCGAGCGCGGCGTCTATGCGGGCCATGGCGCAGGGCGTGGCAGGTGTGGCACTTTCTTGACCTCGTAGGGGGGTGCGCAGGGGGTGGTCTCCGAACGCGGCGTCTATGCGGCCCATAGCGCAGGGCGTGGCAGGTGTGGCATTTTCTCGATCTCGTAGGAGGTGCGCAGGGGGTGGTCTCCGAGCGCGGCGTCTATGCGGGCCATGGCGCAGGGCGTGGCAGGTGTGGCACATTCCTCACCCCGTAGGGGGTGCGCAGGGGGTGGTCTCCGAGCGCGGCGTCTATGCGGGCCATGGCGCAGGGCGTTGCATGTGTGGCACTTTCTCGACCCCGTAGGGGTGTGCAGGGGGTGGTCTCCGAGCGCGGCGTCTATGCGGGCCATGGCGCAGGGCGTGGCAGGCACGACATATTCTCGGCACCACCGGGGGTGCGCAGGGAATGGTCCCCGAGCGGGGCGTTTACGCGGGCCATGGCGCAGGGCGTGGCAGGCGCGGCATATGTTTGACACCACCGAGGGCCGTTGTTGGAGAGGCCGTTATGGTGCTGGCCGTGCAGCGGTTGGTTGGTGTGGTCGGTGTGGTCAGGTCTGGCCAGGTCTGGTTTGGTTTGATATGGTATGGTTGGTCTGAACTGGTTGGTCTGGATGGCGTGGTTGGTTGGCCTGGTTGGTTCGTGTGGTTCGTCTGGCTTATTCTGTCTGCGATTGTTGGTGTGACTAATCTGTTTGTTCTCACTTATTTGGTTGATTGGCCTGGCTGGGATTGTTGAGATTGCTGATCTGGCTTGTCTGGCTGATGTTGCTTGTCTGGTCAGTCTGGCTGGTCAGTTTGGTTCGTCTGGCGTGAATTGCGTATATGACTGATGATGGTTGGGGGTGCAGCTAGCGCGAGGGTGTGTGGAGGACGGCGAAGCACGATATTGTATGTGAACACGCATCGCAAAAAATAAGTATGTGGGGTTCCTCGGTAGCGTAATTATCCTCATTCTCCTCCGTCCCCCCCCCCCCGCCTTGCAATCGTCATCCGCCTCTTTCCGCGTCCTAGGGGCTGGCCACTCGTTGGCTGGGCTTATTATTCGAACGGGCCAGGTTACGAAATTGCCTTTGTTGTAACACTTTCATTGAGGAGGAGGAGGAGGAGAAGGAGGAGGATGAACAGGAGTAGGAACAGGAACAACAGCAGGAGGGGGGAATAACTGGGCACATCTTCATCCAGGCTGCGCGTGCGTCCATCCGCAGGTGCATGGCACTCGCCAATTGGTCTCAGAGGTGCATGCGCCCTGATGCCCAGGAGCGCCCGAGCATCCGAGGATGGGGGGGGGCCGGAGGAGGTATCAAACACAAACATTGTACACTGCAGCTTTCCGTTCCGCCTTCCGTCCCATCGTCGATGATGTTCGTCCGATGTTGCACCGTACGCACTTCGGCCCGAAGACCTCCAGACACGTTGTGTTACACGTGTTCCTGTCCGCCCGAGGCTCGATCCAAAACGAGCTGGAACACCCCCTCTGCTCGAGGGGCCGTGGCCGCCCCTTGCGGCGGGCGGCTCCCCCAGGACAAGTGTTCCTTGCAGGCGCAGCCAGTGTCGTCCGAGGACAGCGCGGCTGCCGCGGCGGGGGGGGAGGGAGTCGTTCTCGTCTCATCCACTATGCCCCTCCTCCTCTTCCCCCCCCCCCCCTCCCCCCCTCCCCCGTTTCCGTTTTGGGTCCAGATTTCGTGGTTGTCCATAAAACGGAAACCGCTAATCCGCGGCAGCTTCCGACTCTTTGCGTGCAATTCGTTTTGCACGTTGCGTTACAATTCTCGCGTGCAGTGCCTTGCACGTTGTGTTCCAAGCATCGCTCCGAACAGTGTGAGGCAGAGTGTGCTGTCGTGGCTCACAGCGCCGCAAAGCATGGGCAGGTCCGTGGTACTGCCGCTGATGCCTTCACCCTCGGAAAGGAGAAGGGTGGTGGAATGGCGGCGACATGCTTGCGTGCACGCAGTGCAGCAAGGCAAAGGGCGCTTCCTTCGGCGGTCTCAAGGCGCCGAGCGAGCCCAGCGCTCGTGCTCCTAATGCTGCAGCCACCAAGGCTGCTGCACACGCCAAGCTCATCCGCCAGAAAGACCAGGAGAATGCCAGAGTCAAGGCGGCTCAAAAAGCTGCCACGACGAGCAATACTCAATCCATGGATTGCAATAGCGAGTGTGATGGAGCTGACCAGAACCACAAGCGCCTCGCCGAGATTGCTACATTGCTCCGCCAGCGTGGCTCGCCAACCGACAAGGTTTTGCTTGAAGCCAAGTCTCCTCTCATCGCTGAACGCGATAGGCTCAAGGAGAAGATGGTCAGCAACAAGCCCTACGCCGCGCAGGTGCAGCACCGGACCACGCGGATTGAGACGATGCAGTTCAAGCAAGCCAGGATTTTGGACGACTTCCACGTGCACGCGTGCAACAGAAGATGCTTGAGGATAAGATTGCGGAGAAGCAGAACGAGGAAGCCGCCATTGCAGTGGAGCTCCAGGAGCTGGAGACCCTGCGCCTGGCTGTCGCCTCGCAAGCGCCAAGGCCAGTACCTGGCGTGTTCTCGCTCAAGAACTTAGGTGCCCGCGCTCTACCTCCCAGTTGCTCCTTCGCTCTCTACCCTTTGCAGCCAGGCAGGTCCCCATCTGGCCCACCCAGGCCAATATACTTGTGAGCAGCGTCTCAGCCAGCACGTGCGTTATTTGAGTTGTATATGTGTGTGCCTGTTCTCCTCAGCCCTTTGAAGATCTGGTGACGTACCCAACCCACCCGAATCATTTTCCGAGACCATTGAGCTCATCCCAGACGGATGATGAGATGGCACGAGACGCGATCCGTTGCAAAAGAAAACACGTGGGGAGCATACGCGTTGCACGCACCGCGATTATGATTTAAGGCAGCGCCGAAGGATGTGGCATGTGGAGACAAACGGACGGACAACGATGGCCAAGATAAGGATTGAAGTCAACAAATCCAGGGACACTACATGTGGGCAACCACTGACAATAGGGCAATCCATATGCACCTATACGTAAACATACAACTGTACACAAAGGATGCACCGATGACGAGGAGGAACGCAATACGAGAGAGGATCATCAGTGGGAAGAGAGGACGAGAGGGATGGTGGGGGATGGCGAGGAGGAGCGTTGACGAGGAATATGATGTGCGATTCTGAGGAGAGGGGTGAATGCAATGCGATGGTGCACGGTCGGCTGGAAGATATCATGCCGCTGGACCTTCCCAGAGTCCAGGATCGTGACAGCGTTGGCGCAACAGGGAGCAGCTAGGGATGGCGAGGTCTCTTTTGGATACGCGCAAGGTACCAACCCACTGCGCCTCCCGAGGGCCCACGACCTAAGGACACCACTGCGCAGTTGGGAGCGCCCAGGGATGGCGAGGTTCCGTTTGAATCTGCGTAATGTACGTCCCCGCTGGATCTCCCAGGGGCCCGCTAAACGGGAGGCGACTGCGCAATTGGATATACCCATGGGGGTGTAGGTCCCATTGGCATCTGCGCAAGACACAATTGGCAGCGTCGAGGAAGGGCGAGGCTTCGATCGGGCCTGCGTGAGAAACCACTCCGCTTGGCTTCCAGGGTAGATACGACAGTTGCGACAGTTGCGCAGCTGGCATCACCCAGGGAGGGCGGCGTGTAGTTTGGATCTGCGTAAGGCGCCGCTCTGCTTGACCATCCAGGGGGATCAAGAACGTGGCACCAGTTATCAGCCCCCCCCAGGGAGGGCGAGGCGGATCTGCGTTGGACCCCACTCCGCTGGGCTTCCCAGGACTGCATGAAAGTGGCGACGCTTCTGCAGATGACAGCAGTCATGTAGGGCGAGGTCTCGTTGGGGTCTGCGTAAGACACACATCCGATTGGGACCCCTTGGGCTCACGAACGTGGCGACGGTTGCGCAGCTGGCAGCCCCTTGAAAGGAGGTGGTGGTGCCTCATTTAGGTTTGCGTGCGAAGCAACTCCGCTGGGCCCCCCAAGGTCACACGACAGTGGCCAAACTGGCGCAGTTCGTAGCACCCTGGAGTGGCGAGGTCCAGTGTCTGTGAGACTCTGTGTGCAACATTCCCTGTGCCCCCCAGGGGTCCACAACGTGGGGACAGTTTCGCAGTTGGCAGCGCCCAGCTGGATCTGCTACACTAGGGGCCCGCAAAAGTGACGGCAGGTGCGCAGTTTACAGCGCCCAGGGAGGGCACGGTTTCGTTTGTAATTGTGGCCAGGGCCACCCTGCTGGATTTCCCAGAGGTTCGCGACAGTGACGACGGTTGCGCAGTTTGGAAGTAATTTGGGGAGGACGAGGTCTGGCTTGGATTTGCGTGTGACACCAGTTCGCTGGACCTCTGAGGGGCCCACGAAAATGGCGGCAGTTGCGCAGCTGGCCGCCGCTAGGGAGAGGCTGGATTCACGCATGCATCATTTCGCTGGACATCCCAGACTCACACACAACGTGGCGACATTTGCTTGACTGGCAGACCCCAGGGTGGGCGAGGTCTGTTTCGGATCCGCGTGTGACACCGTTCCGTTTGACCTACCATGAGCCAGCGGCAGTGGGGCAGCTATATTCCCCCAGGGATAGCGAGGTCAAGTTTGGATATGCGTAGGACCCCGCTCTGCTGGAGCTCCCAATGGCTCACGAAAGTGGCGACACTTGCTTGACCGGCAGCGCCCAAGACGGGCGAGGTCTCACTTGGATCTGTGTAAGACCCCACTCCGCTGGACCTCCCAGAGGCTCGAGAAAGCGGCAGCGGCAGCTGCGAAAATTGCATCAACCAGTCGAGGTATAGTTTTGATATGCGTAGGACCCCACGCAGCTGGACCTCCCAGGGGTTCACGAACGTGACGACGGCTGCGCAGGTGGCAGCCCCCAAGGAGGGCGATGTTTCGATTATGTCCGCGTAGGACCAAACCCCGCTGGACGTCCCTGGGGCTTACAGTGATCACAGTTGCGCAGTTAGCATCCTCCCAGGCAGACACGGCAGGAGGCATCGGCCTTCCTTGCTTGTTTCCCTTTCCGTTTGCATGTTGTTCCCCCCTCCTTTCCCCGTCCACTCCCTCCTCCGTCCATTATACTACCCTCCTCCTTCTCTTATTCCTCCTCCTCTTCCTCCTCCTCCTCCTCCTCCTCCTTCCCCCCCGCTCCCTTCTTTCTCCCTCCCTCCCTTCTCCTGACCGGCGCCCCGGAGTAGCGCCCACCACCCCCCGCACACAGGATGTGTCCGACTTGTTTGGTTCTATAATGTTTCGTCTGACCGTTGTCGGTCCTTCCAAGATGGTTTTCCCGCTGGAGCGCGGGCCTCATTTCCAGATCGGCGCTTTGCTCCCGTCTTTCAGAATAGCGCTCTCGCCCCAGCAGGGGCCACTTTGCTGAATCCGAGTCCTTCTCTTCGTTGTCTCCCCGCTCCGTTGAATTTGGTCCTACTCCTCCGCTCTTCCAATTCCTGCTCCTGTTGCTGCTGTTCCTCCTGATCATGCTCCAGCTTATCCCCCACCTCCAATATACACAGCTGCTTGTTCTGGACTGCGCATAACACCATTGAGCCCTGTGGGGGGCTCCAGGTCCGCTGTGTCACCTGTCGGCGGATGAACACAAATCAGCGCCATGGGAAGGGATGGGTGGGAGGGGTAGAATGTCTGATATGGCATATGGCGCGAGCGCACCTGGCTTGTCGTCCTGTCCCCTCTCCCTCCCTCCCTCCCTCCCTCCCTCCCTCCTCTCCCTCCCTCCTCTTCTCCGCGCCGGTCTTTCCCTCTCCTCCCTCCCCATTCCCTCTCCTGCTCCTTCAGCGACGACGACGACGACGACACCGGTGGGCTCGGAAGGCGCAGCCGGCCGAGGAGGGCTCTCAGCACTTGGGGCGCTGGGTGGAGCAGGCGGCCACGGCGCTTCGCCACGCCGCCGTCATCGTCGTCGTTTTTCTCTTTGTGCTATCCGTCTTGGTCGCTGTTCGCCGTCGCGGTCATCGAGGTTCGAAGTTCGAGGTTTTCGGACGTGTTCCTTCGATTCCCGCATGTCTTCCAGCCTCGGGGTGCTTTTCAGCAGCTGCGCATCCCCGGGAGCGTTGCAGGGGTACCCAGCTCTTCCCGAACGGCCGCCAGGGGCTCGATTTTGGCAAGACATTCGGCGCCTCGAGAAAGATCCAGTTGAACAGGCCGCCGCCACATTGGCTTACCGATGCCAGTTTCTGGCCTCGGGATAGTCAGGCAACTCATCGGGATGAGAAATTGGCCATTGGAAAGAGGTCGCGAGGTGCAGGGACCCACGCAACGAGAACGTCGATGGGTTCGTCGCCGTATTCGTCCTCGTACTCGTCTTGGCCATCGTCGTTGGCCAGGCGGAATATGAGGAGGCAGGGGAAGAGTGGAAGAGGAGGAGGAGGAGGAGGAGGAGGAGGAGGAGGAGGAGGAGGAGGAAAGGCGGAAGATGGGGTTAGGGAGAAGTGGAAGGTGAGCGGGAGGAGGAGAAGTGAAAGGAGGAGAGGTACGTAAGAGGGAGGAGGAGAGGGAGGTGAAGGAGGGAAGGGGCGGGGGAAAGGTTAGGCGAATTACCTCCAGGTTGAAATTCCCCATCCTTCTGAGTGCAGACATCCATGGTCTCCAGAGTTCCAGCATTTTGAAAAGTCAGGGCGTCTTGTGAAATAGGCAGGGGCTGGGTTTTTTGCTAAATAGGCAGGGGTTGGAGTTCTGGAGGGCAGGTTCGGCACCCGGGGCGCTTGCTTGCATAAAACGGTCTTTGGCGCGAAGCCCATGCACTCCCCAGTCGCACGTATCAGGTGACGCACGCTCTGCCAACATCTCTGCCATCGCGGCCCTGCAACCTCTTCCAATTGGCGATTCTGAGGGGCAGCGTTAAAAGGGGAATACGCTGTGGGGGATATGCATTGGCCCTGCATCGCCCATTGATCGCTGAAGGCGTCTTGATAGCCCATCCCGCCCAGGACCGTCCGGTTTCGCTATCGAGAGCCTATCGCTCTTTCTCCCCCCATACCCCCAGCCAGTCCCTCCTATCGCTACCCCCGAGCCAGTCCCTCGAGCCAGTCCCTCCAGAGCTAGCCCCCTCCCCCCCAAGCCAGCCCCCTCCCGAACTAGTCCCCCCCCCCCAGCCAGTCCCCGGCTCGAGCACGTGGACTTCGTCTTCAGGGTGCTGCAGTCGGCACAGGGGCTGCGTGGCGTCGGGGGATGCCGCGCCGCTTGCTGGTCGCGGCCCCCCGGGCGACCATGGCCTTCGGGCTGCCCATGGTGGGGACGCTGACGCGGGGTCTGCATCGCGCGCGTCATGCAGGTCTACAGAGTGGATTGGCAGCAGGCTCAGCATGTCTGCGATGTGGCTTGGCGGCGCCCACGCTCCATGCGCGCGGCCACGTTGCACTTCGTGGGCCACCCAGCGACGGCGACCAAGAGGTCCGGCGACAGACGATTGACCAGCCCATTGGTGCTCGACAGGCCGTGGAGGACATCTTCAGGGACAGCCTCGGCGACGGCGCCAGTGCTGCCGAGGCCGAGTACTACTATGGCGATGCTACGGTCTCGACCGCTGAGGTCGGCGTCGGCGTTGACGCCGTCGCGGAGCTCGTCGAGCTCTCCGCGGCCGGCGTCGCGGTCGGGGGGCCCAGGCCTGGTCAGACGGCGCGGGCGGGGGGGGACCGTGCCGGGGCTGCCCCGAGCCGGCCGCCCCCTGCGGCCAGCGGCCCAGGCCTGCCCCCCCGAAGTTCGACCACGTGGACTGCAGGCTCCGCGTCATCTTCCACGACCTGCTGTGGTTCTGATTCCTTGTCGTCTGCAGGTACCTCATCGCTGGTGGCATCTCCGTCGCCGCTGGCTTCTAGGCCCGTTTCTCGCCCAAATCAGTCGCAGGTTTGCCTTGATCAGGAGAATCCCCCGCCCTCGCCCCCGCGCGACCTGCGCGAGGCTAGGAAGATCAATGTCGGGAAGCCGACCCCGCGGCCAGATGTTTGGAAGATTTGCGCGCCCAACATCACGTCTTGGGGGGTCGGGTGCACGTCAGGATCCAGCCAGGTATGCGCGCCGGCCGTTTTTCGATCTCGCGGATGATGTTGAGCCTGGCATTTTTTTCAGGGGCACCACCAGGCTGAGGTTCGGCTTGGTGGTGTGCAGCAGGCGCTGGTGAAAGCTGGCCTCGGCGCCGTCGGGGCGACCCGAAGCTGGCGCGCCCGGAGGGGCGGGTCTCGCTATCTCGACGCTCCGGGGCCTCAAGGGGCTCGGCGACTTTTGCCGCGCGGGGCCAAGCACCCCCCGCACGCGCACACGCACGCACGCACACACACGCACACGCACACACACACACACACACACACACACACACACACACACACACGCACACGCCAAGCTGGGGATCTTGAGCGGCTTCTTATCTGGAGGCGCCGTTGTGGGCTCCGCGCGCCTCCGCGACGGGGTCGTCTGCAGGGGCTTCAATGTGGATCTTTTGAATAGCATCGGGGAGGTCTTTCGGGCACATGGGCTGCCTTTTTATCTTGGGAGGTGGTTTTCAGTTTCTTGTGAGCAGCTGGTGGAGTCTGTTCGGCTCGGGGGCCTGCAGGCCGACGTTTTCGACTCGGCCGAGTGGACCTGCCAGCTGGAAACGCACCGATCGCACATCGACTGTTTTGCTGCTTTCAACTCGCTGGAGCCCCACGTTGACAGATGCTAAGCGGCGACTCGGGCGACCCGCACTCGCCCGCATCGGCCAGTCATTGTTTGCTTGCGGGGCAATCCCAGGCAAGTGATGGTACCCATGTTGAAGAAACAAACCATCGGCTCTTCCCACCCATGGGCCCGTCGGTTTCGACCCGAAACATTTCCGGGCTGAGGCGACGTGCCGGAGGTGTTCGATCAGGGCAGTATCTCCAGGGCTGTATTGGACGCCGTCACGTCGCAATGGGCTGAGCGCGCTGAGCTTGCCCTTATTCGAGCTTTGCAGGTTGATGGCGGACCTCGTCGTCGAGATCAAGGAGGGCCCCACAAGGTGGCCCAGGTCCCTCTGCTAGGGCCACCTGCTTCGACCCACCCCGAAGCCATCGGCGAGGGTGAAATGTGGCGCGTGTTGGAGAGGAGGCGTTGGACACCCAGCGCCTCTGGAATGGGCCCAGGCCCACCTCGGGGGGGCGCGCAGCAAGCTGAGATTCGATTTAGGAAGCCGGTGAACTACAAGTCCCAGTTCACGGATTGCAAGAATTGGGCTTCTTTGGGGCTGCGCACCGCATCGGTTCACCCTTCTTCGGGGGCCGAGCTCAAGGAGGTCATCCAGCAGTCCGCAAGTGGGCCCAGGAGCACGAGCGCCACGCGGCCTCGGGGAGGGCCCGATCTTGGAGAGAGCGGGTGGCTCCATGAACGGCGAGGCTCGCAAGGCTCGCAGGCATTCCAGGAGTTCCTCAAGTGGGCTGTCTCAGGTCTTCTGGACATGTCGATGCTGTCGGGGTTATGCCGGGCATTGTTTCGGAGGCTGGGGGTCGAGCTCAGGGCTGGCACCAGCATTGGGGCGCGGGCCGGCAGTTCCCCCAACCGCAGTTTGGAGGGCGCGCTGACGAACCTGAGCTAGAGCCCCCCCCCCGTCTAAGGAAGAGCTTTTAGCCCTCGCGGGAACGTGCAGCGCGCGCGCGGCCATCTGCATCTGCGGTTCCCATATTCGCCATCGGTCGTTCATGGGCTACGGCGCACTGGCGGTCTTTCTTCGCATCTGGGAGCAGATGCAGTGTCTTTTCCACGTGCCCAAGTGCTGGGCCTTGCTACTGGTCGCCCTGCTTCCCCAAGTCACCGCCTGGTGGAGGGGACCTAACGATCGGGGTGTTCTCATCGCCGTTGGGGACGTGGCCCAGATGGGCCAGCTGGGAAGTCGCTGGCCCCTGGGGGCCTCATCATCCCAGGGTGCGCTGGTTTGGCGATTCGGGGGCTTCTTGCGGCATGCGCGTTGGGGAACAAAGCTTCGCGCTGGGGAACAGAGCTTCAGCGGAATTGACTAGGGATCAGGGCAAGGCAGTTTGTTCAAAGTTGATGGATCGTGTCGAGGCCTACGAACGCGGCCCCCACCGCGCGCATGTTGGCTGCGTTCGGCGGCGCGGATTTCACGGCAAAGCTCTGCGGTTTCTTGCGGCCACGCACAGTATGGATCATTTGGTTCTTTTCGAGGCGATTGCGGCCGAGGTCGTCGCCGCGGGCCGCGCGATCGCTGCTGCTTGGAGCTGCCCCACTCGTTTGCTCGGACGGATGTTTTATTTTTGTTTGCTGATGCGGCAGTTGTTTTTTTCTCTCGGTTGATCTGCCCAAGAAGCATTAGTCGGTCATGGGCCAAGATCTTCGTCGCGCCGCTCAGAAAGCGGATCCGTCGTCGGCGAGGTTGTCGACGAGGTCGGGTTGGAATATCGGCCTCGATTGTTTTCGGGGGGGGGAGGCGTCGTCTCCTACACGCGGTCAGAGCCAAACGTCTAACGCCTTGGGAAGATGTCGTCGCGTATTCCTCGGCACAACTGGCGAAAACTGGAGATAAATCCATCCAGTTGGCCCAGGCGGGCCTCGAACCAGGGATGTTGCGGCCCGCGGCGCGCGCGGGATCGGCAGCGCGCATCTGCTGACGGGCCGTCAGTCGGCGAGACCTGGCTGCGTTTGCAGGCGCACGGGCAGGTCTCTCACGCTCGACCTCATGATTGCAGGTCGTCAGGTCGACCCCGCTTTCGAGTGCAACCGCTTCCCGATCTACCTGTGGCTCCAGGCGCCATCAGGTAATTGGGCTTCTCGGGCTGAAATGCATCGTCTTCTGAGTGGGGCCTGGACTAGGCTATCGGTCGTTCCTGAGTCATGAGTGCGGTCTGACATCCGAGGGCCCGCGTCGGACCTGATGGGCGCGATGGTTCGGCTTTGTTGGTGCATTTTGGACCCTGCCCGTGAGGAAACTCATCGGGGGCCCGTGCGGATCGAGCAGATTTCCCCCAGGGATGGAGACAAGCTGGCCGGCGGGGCCACTGGGCGCTGGCTGTGGAGGCAGGTCCTCGCTAAGCCTTCGTCTTGGTCCTCCATCTGCCCCCGTCCTCCTCTGTCGTGGTATCAGAGGCCCCTCCTGCCCCCAGCCTCTCCAGGCCTTGCGTGGACCTCCCGGCGCCGCGGCGTGCTCAAATCTTTCTTGTCGGTCGGTTTTTGGCCCCATCAGCGCCTGCGCGAAGCTGGTGGGACCACCTCCCCGTCGCGCCAAGCGCGCAAGGATATCGGCCCCATTTGGCATCTGTTTTACATTTGCATTGCGAACACTGATTTCCGGAGGGAGCATTCGGTCGAGTACCTCTTGGCCACGCGCTGGAGTTTGCGCGTAGGTCCGCCGAGGCTTCTTTGATCTGGACTAGGATTCTGGTTCCTGACCCGTCGCGGCTGTTCCCCAATTCGCGTCTTGAGGAGCGGGTTGCCGGGGCGCTCCGCCCAGAAGACATCCTTCTTGATGTGCACGCGGACGGGGCCTGTGCTCACTCGGATCCGCGCGGCGCGAGTTCAGGAGATTGCATGGGCCGCCCCCTTCCTATTCAGTCGGCGCCCGCTCCTGAGCTGCTCGTTTTCCTGATTGCCCTCAGATACATGGGTGCCCAGATTATTTTATTTCACGGGCCGCAGGTCTCCTGTCGATGCGCGGCGCCAAAAGGTAGGCGCTGGCGCGGCTGCTAGCGACCACATGACCGTCCTCTGGAAGGGGGGCGCGGAGGCTGGCGCGGGTGGAACTGGTGGAGGTCACTCACTTGAAGGCGCGCGCTCCAGCCTCAGCCGTGGCCGATGGCCAGATCACGGCGCGGCAACGCTCCGGGAATTCCAAAACTGATTTGTCTGCCAAGATGGGCGCGCAGCTTCATCCCGACGGGGGGCCTCCTAGGAAGGCCCACGGATATTCCAGCAGTGCAATCAAGATGGTCGCCCAATTTTGCACGCGCGTCGCTTGTCGAATCGGCTCTGTCACGGCGTTCGATGCCCAGCGACAGGCTCTCGGCAGGGTCATTTGAACCATTGAAGCCGGCATGGGCCCGCCACGTGCGCACGCGCTGCATGGCCCAGCGATCGCGTTTTGTCCCGGCGATTTCGTTGCACGGTGCGTCTCAGGCAAGTCAAGTCCCGATTGGTGCGCCGCCAGCTCAAGTGCAGGCAGAGTGCGAGTCAGCACTCACTCCGCAGAGCTGGTCCTGTTCTGCCTGCGCGTCATGCGGGCTGTACTCTGAGAAGCATATCGTTTTTTTTTTTTTCTGCTGATTACCATCCCGCGATGCGTCGCGCTGGCGCGAGCGTCACGCACGCCGGGTTTCATCGCCTCCAGAAGCTTCTGAAAGGCGGGCACCCCAAGTCAGGTTTGTTTTGGGCCCTCCAGTTTTGCTGCGTGCTTGGAGGTTCTGCGAGACGGCTAGTTGCCGCCGCTTCCACCTCGCCCGTGGACTTGCGGGGCGGGGAGTGGGTCGGAGCTGGGGGCGGGGCGGGCGGGGCAGGAGCTGGTTTCACACACTCCTGATACCCAGCTTGAGATGGCCTTTTCGCGGGTTTCCCCGATGCCAGCGATTCGGACGACGACGATCCTGCCCGCGAAGCGAGGCATTGGGTCGAGTGGCGTTTCCATCGCTGGCCACATTTTTTTTTCAAACTCCAGTCAGTACGCTGGCGGCTGAGCTTTGTCAGGTCAAAACGCTTGTCTGCCCGGCTGCGCGACCTGCCGCCGTGGCCGGGCCTGTTGTTGCCCCGAGGCAGGCTGCGAAGCTCTCTGGGGTGGGCTTCCGTAGCTGGCAGAGCACCCAAATGCTGCGGTGAGGGTGTCCAGGAGGGCGCGCCTTCTGGCACTGCAGCGTCGCGGTGTTCGTCCCGTGGCATTTCCCTGCCGAGTTCCGGGCGTACTTGGAACCATGGGTTCCGCACATCACGCCTGCCACCGAGGTTCGGGGTGGCTGGCCTGGGGCTGTGGCCTCGGCAGCCTGGAGCAAGTGCGAGGGTGCTGCATGCGCGCCAGCTGCCCCTTGGCGATCGCCAGTCGAGGGCCGCGCGGCCCCTTCTCGGGCGGCGCCGTCTGCGGAGCCGAGGGCATCAGCTGCATTTATTCCTGCTGCTCTTCCTGCTCCCTCGGGCCGGGCTTCCAAGTTGTCGCAGTCCATGGTGCTCGCGTCGCCCAAGATGGCATGGGGCCCCCCTGCCCAGCGCGCGGCTTCCCGGGCGACGTGAATCAGCATCAGCGTCAGCTTCTCTGCCTTGGCGGGCATGCCGCGGCAGGCTGCCCCTTGTTTGGCCCACATCCGCGGCCGCACTGCCCGCGCGCAC